CATGCAAATTCTTTCAATACTTTATTCACATGACAGATGTGTTGAAGATGATGATTCGTGCTGATAGGACTGGTGATTGGTTGCTCCATCTTCAAGCAGTTCAAGATGCATTACCAATATATGCTGCCTTTGACAGCACTAATTATATTAAATGGTGCTCCATGTATTTGGAGGATATGAGGAAATTACCTGAAGTAGCTCCTGAGGTATATGATAATTTCATGTATGGAGGCTTTGTTGTGAAGCGCACCGAGGGATCCTTTAATGCTGTAGCTGCTGACATGGGACTTGAGCAGACCATTAATAGGTCTGCTAAGAGCTCTGCTGGAATTATTGGTCAGACTAAACAAAAAAAATATGTGACAGAATGGCTTCTAATTCATCATGAAATGCTCCTTGTCAAATCCTTATTCAAGGATTTGTGTGGTGTATCTAAGACACAAGATAATGATGTATACCTCCACCATGAATTCAATGAAAATGAGACAAAGAATATGAATACCCATGTGAATGACATAATAGCCTATATTGAAGAGCATGAAAATCCATTTTCTCTACAAGCAATCAAGGCACAACCAAAATTGCATAACATATTGACACAGGAAGTGATGCCTGATGAAGTACGGAATAGTGTTCTACAAGTATCCATGACTGGGAGCACAGTATACAGAAATATTAGAAGAGAAAGATTCATTGAGAAAACTACAGATATTTCAGCTACAGTAAAGAGACAAAATGTTAGGACTTTCACCACAGTAGGACAGAATGAGAAGAAGAAACAACAAAAGAAGAAAACCTACAAGAAGAAAGGAACTGCACAAAGGACACTTGATATTGCAAATGAGAGAAAATATGACTTCAGCAAACTACTGGAATATGATCTCATGGAGGAAAACTACTTATTTGATGAAAAAAACCTGATGACATCTCCCACAAAAGCCCAGTTAGTCAAGGAATTAGAGAAACAACTAACTAAGGAAGACATGGTATATCCATCTGATTGGTCAGCTGATGTCCCATCATCATGTATCATAGATGTGATGGCTCATATAAGGAGAATTTCCTCATCACAGAAATTGAAAACAACCAAAACATTTGGAGAATTGTCATCCTCTATAGTTACAAGTGCAATACAGATTGCAAGACTGACTAAGTCAACGCGTATTGACTTTGTCTTTGATTCCTACATTACTCAATCAGTGAAAGATTCTGAGAGAAAACGCAGATCGAAGACTACTGCAATTGAAGTAGGAATTATTAATGAGAGTACACTGATTCCTCTGAATATGGACACCTTTTGGGGAAGTAATTCCAACAAAGAGCAACTACAATTATTGTTGAGAAAATCAATACAAAAAGTGGCAAGTAGTTACACAAATATAATGTTTGTTTTAAGTGGAACAGTCAGCAATTCACCAGAGTTGTCCATGAAATGCGAAAGCTTCAATGTTCCCTCAACAAGCAACACCCCGTGTATCAATAAACCAATAGAAGAAGCAGATACTAGAATGCTTCCCCATATAGTAGATGCCTTAAAGAATAACATATGTAGAGTGTCTGTCATATCAAATGACACTGATGTCTTTGTCATGGTTTTGCACTATGCAGAAAAACTAAAGGACTATGGAGCATCAGAGATATGGATACGAGCTGGCATCGGGGACTCAACAAGATATCTTCCTATGCATACATTAGCACTGAGAGTTGATGAGAATATAAGCAAAGCTTTACCTGCAATTCACTTCCTTACTGGTTCAGATGTTACAAGTAAAGTTGGTACAAAACCTGCAGCATTGAAAGTAAAACCAGAATACATTCAAGGTTTAGCAACCTTTGGGGAGAACCTAAGTGATGAAAATTGCAGTAAAGCTGAAGTGTTTCTTGTACAAGTTTTGAAATCTGGGTCAAAATGTAGGACCATGAATAAATTTAGGAACTGGATGTACCATCACTCAAAATCAGCTCAAATAAGCTCATTGCCACCCACATCACACCTACTAACAGACCACATAAAACGAGCTCACTTAGCCACATATCAAGTCCAGCATGTTCTAGATGAAGAAGCTGTAACACTTGATCCCCTACAATATGGCTACATGAAGGACCCCACAAATGATTCTCTTATCCCAAAGCAGGACATAAGGATTTGGCCTGAAGATTTGATAAAGCAATGTACATGCAAAACTTGCAGCCAGGCATCATGTGGATGCAAACAGAGTGGGCAACACTGCATATCATTCTGCAAATGCACAAGTTTACAAACAAATAAATGTAAAAATCCCTTTTTAAAAGAGAGTGAACTTTTGGAGGCAATGCTTAATTAATGTTTTATGCTGATAAAATGAACTGTTTTAATCAAATATCACAAAACAAATTGAATGTAACAGTTGTTTTCTAGTCTCTTATTTTACAATGGATTGGAATTTAGGTAGAATCAGATCAGGGAGCAGTTTTCAAAAATATTTATGTCATATTCGTAATCACATCTATTTTCTAGAAATTCAAAGCAGTGCATTCTTTATTAAAAAATAGAGGTATTTCTGTTAATACGTTCAAGTGTTTTGCTGTGGATATATATACTTTGAATCTGAAATATGGTTACATTATTTCATAAAATAGCATGTATCTATTAAGAGGTACAATATTTGAAATGGTCAGGAAGACTTGGGGAGGCTAAAAGCCCATTTTGCTTTCAATTTTGTCATTTGTCTCTATGTTTCTTACTTTGCCTTCAAAAATCATACATGATTTACAAACAAATGAAACTTATAGAAAAATATATTTTCTATAGATGGCGCCTTTTATGCATGGTTTCATTCTGTCTATAATGTATTCATTAATAACCGTAATTGTCAACCATGAGCTTAACTTGTCTAAATATATATTTTTCTACTTGTTACATCATGTTAGGTTTACCTTAGAAATAAAAAAGCATATGTATTTGGTAATATGTAAAAACTGATATTTTGTCAAATTTCTTCCACTTTTACAAAAAATTTTTTTTCTAAGTTCCCATGTCCCACATATATTAATTTGATACTGCATCATATGTCCCCTTTAAGGTTCTAATTATTACACCAATAATAACAATTTTATCTACCATAACAGCCTCAGAATAATAAACTTTATAAGGTAGACCCTTGATTATAGGTGGCGCTTCTGTATATTTGAGGCAAAATGACCCATCAAATGACCTTCCAGGATCACCTAAAAATTCAAATGCATAGTTTAGGATGTAGTCTCTAAGGAAACAGCAAAAAAATAAATATGAAATTAGGTTTGGCTGAAAAAAAAATTAATTAAGATTATCACCCTGCAACTTTAAAATCACTAGATGGCGCCACTATAACCTGCCATAAAAATTGATTTTACCCAAACCTGGAAAAATAACTTATGGATTCCTACACTTCAGGGTATCTACTAAAAGAAAATCAAAAGTTATTTCATTCTAAATCCGAGTAAGCTCAGAGAGGCTAGGGACAGGACTAAAGGGTAACTTACTGTCAATGTATAACATATACCTCACAGATATGCTGTATTCTGATTGGTTTATGATATCTGCAATCTGATTGGTTCACATATATCTGTTGGTTTTCAGATAGAGATATCTGCAATCTGATTGGTTCACATATGACTTGATATTATATTGTATACCAATCGTACTACGAATATTTGTGGTTGTATGTTATACCCTCAAAGTAACTGCTATATCTGCTATATTTTACATTATTTTACTGCAGTTATAAGGTCATAGTGTAGTGACATTTTGCCAATGCTTGTAGAAGTGTAGACATAGTTTTAGATTTTCTCTCTCATTTAACAATAAAAATTAATTCTGTCAAGAAAAAAATCTTCTTAATCGTTGTAAAACTATGCAATTTAAATGCTCATATTTTATTTTCACAGGAGGTTTGTACTAACATATTAATTTTAATGGAATGCCATTTTTCGGGACCATCTCAAATCCTCTTATTTTCTCCAATAAAATTATAACATTTGTTTAGATGATAAGGAGGTATTTATTTATTTTGTTTTTTGTTCATGAAGAATGCATGTTTTTGTCATAATAGTTTAGGGAACATTAATACATAAATACAAATCTTGGAAATAACCTTGGATTCATGGATTCCCTTGCCATACTTCTCCACTCTCTAAATGTTGAAAAACTTGGAAGACCATCAACATGCCAGAACAAGACTTGCCCTTTCATAATTTTTCTTAAAAATTTAGAGATTTTGAGTTGGTCCCTGTTAATGAATGCTATTTGTGTGTTTAATTAAGCTCAATGTGTTTATATGTTGCAAGAATATGTGAACACTTAATATATTTGACACATTTGACAGACACATCGTTATGAGGATTTAGTGTCACATTTGAGTGACACATTTAAGAGCTACATTTGAATCACACATTTGAATGACACTTTTGAGACACAAATTTGAATGCAACAATTTTTATATATTTGGAACAAGGAAATTCATACCTTTATGCATGTCATTTACTTCACTTGGAACCTTGCATGAAAAATCTTAAAAACAATGAAAATATTCACCACATAAACATGATACACATTTTTCTTGTGCATATTCAATGCCCTAAAAAATTAGTAAACTATATATTATAAGTAAGTGCATATACTGTGATGCTTTTATGGAATCAAAATTTCAAGTGAATCTGATTTGACCCAAGTGCTTTTTATCTTTCTAAAATCAAATAAAACATGTCCGCTATAAATGTTTGATAAATGCTTCTTAAGAAATTAAATTGTAAACTAGCTCATAAAAACTTTCTGTTTAGCTCTATATATATGTTGCTTCAACTTGAAAAAAGCTTACGGGGTCTTCAGTAGTCATTTTAGAATATATTACAATGAGAAAAGATTTATCATCTATCAACGATTCAAAAATCTCGTAAAACAAAGTTATTATTGTATTCATTTAGATTTTAAGTTTGTAATTCAATGAGAGTTGTTGTAACGGTGATGTTGCAATTTTTTTTAGTTGGAAGAAGCATTTGAAGACCAGAGACGGCAAGAAGAGCGTGCCAAACAAGAAGAAGCTGAGAAGAGAGACAGGGAACGTCTTGAGGCAATCAGGAAGAAAGAACAAGATAGGATTATGCAGGTTAGTCATCATAATTATAGGATTTGTCTGTCAGGCAAAAGCTCAAATACCGTTTGACGGATTTAGTTGGAAGTATAGAGGCTAATGTCCTATGGGCTTAGAACTTCTGCTTCAGAAGGCATTTCTATGATGGCCACTCAGTTCAAAATGGCTGCCATCTTTGTAACATTTGTTTCTCTCCACATTTGGGTTACAAGCGCCTATGACATAATGTCTTGTGGCCTTTCCCCATCTCAAAATATCTTCAATGTAGTATTTCATAGTACGATTAAACCTTAATGGAACAACATCATAAGTGGAACACTTTTCAAGGTTCTGCTAGCCATTAACCTAATGTAAAATAAGCTTCTATAAGTGGAACACCTCCCAACTTGAACACTATTTTGAGGTACCTGTCTGTTCCACTTGCACAGGTTTTACTGTACTTCAAATTGAGTTAGCGTCTCATTATGAGCTTCATTGTTCCTCCATTTTAATTTGGCTGCATTAGCTTGGAAGTATACATTAAAGATATAAAGACTAATCAATGGTGTACCCAGAAAGGAAAAAGTGACGAGGCAATTTTTTGCAAAATTTGTTAAAAACACTTGAGACAGACGAGGCAAGTTTGCCTCTTCTGCCTCATCTTGGCTACGCTAGTTGCAACATAAACTTTCAATTTTATCCGCAGGAACGTCATAAGCATCTTATTATGAGCTTCTTTACATTTCATTTTAATATAGTTGCCTTGAGAGAACATGTTTAAGAGCCATGTAGTGGAATATTAATTTTTTTATTTAACCCACAGGAACGTCGTAAAGAAGATCAGAAAAATAGGGAAAGACGACGTAAGACTCAAGAGATAGTACTACCAGAATCCTTGAAAGAAAAACATGTGGACATCAGTATGGATGAAAATAAGGAATCAGCTACCAAGTATATAAGCATTATTTGCATTTCTTTCTTTTTCCATGTTACTTTAAAGAGGTTACAGGAATTTCAATATTTTTTCTCTAGCAAAATGAATCACACACTATTTTAAGTGAAATTATCCCTTTGCAAGGATGAATAAATGATAAAAAATGATAAAAAAAAGATTTTATAGTGGAATTGAAATACTACATTCAAATCAAAAAAGCACCAGGTGTAGTCTAGGCAATATACATTTACAATGGTGTTATATATATATTTATTATGCACCTCATTAAAATACTCAAACCTGATTGGTTAAGAGCTGCAGGGTCTATTGCCATACGTGGCAGCAAGATCTTGTTCTATCCAGTATTGAAGCAACGTGATCTCCAACCATCCCGTGTGCCAGAATACCTATCTTTGAAAAAAATACTAGGCTCGGCTTCTGTTTTAGGAGACCCATTCTTTAAAATAAAGTACCTAAGCTTCACCTCGCCTAGTATTTTTTTCCTTGGATAGGTATTCTGGCATATCCACCTCATGGTCATCCAGTATTTGTTTAATATCAATACAGTATGTATTAATCTACTTCAATCCAGACCACTAAACCATCAATACATATGAATTATTTCCCTTCCATTTTACCCACAAGGCCCACAAGAGAAGCGCCACCTGTACCAATGGATCGCAACCTGAGTCATGATGAAGTCGGGAAATTGGTGAAGTCCCCCGCTGCTCCCGTTGGCATTAGCCCAGTAAAACGAACCACCAGTAAGGGTGCTGCTGATGACAATGAACAAACAGAAGATGCAAAAGCCCCCATTAAACCAATTAACATAGACATTAGTGAGACACAAAAAGACTCAGTGCCTCCTCCTATAGTGATATCCCCATCATTAGTTCCAACCAATGCCTCTGCCCCTACATCCCCAGTGCATGTAAAAGCAGTGGACACTTTAAAAACAAAAGATAAACCGAAACGAACGCCAAGTTTCACAACGAGGAAAAAGACACACAGTTTCAAGGAAAAATATAAGATGACTGGGGAACTGCCACCATCTGAGATGGAGGGAATGTTGGAAAGAAAACAAGAACTGCAGATTGGTGGGAAGAAGGCGACCATCAGATCTTGGAAGAACTATTACACTGTATTATGCGGGCATATGCTATGTTTCTATAAAGACAGGCACGGTGAGTGAAGAATTATAGAAATTCATAGTGGTCAAAACTCTTCCCATTCTGCCAGAAGTACATTTATGAAGTTTCTATGGTGTCCAATGTACCTAAAAGCATGCTTTTGAAAAATAACAGGCCTCTTAAATCCGAATGTCTTAAATCCAGCTCAAATCCAAATGTTGTTAGTTGTCACAAAGGATTTAAATAAATGTTCATACAGGCAAAAAAAACAGCATAAATCTACACATAACTTTTAGGAACTACAGATGTCATATTGAATACACACTTATAATGAGATCAAATCTAAAAAACTAAAGTTACATGGATTCTCTTTCAGGTTTCATTGAACAAAATGCTGCCTCCGCCCCATTGACATTACACCATGCTACATGCGAAATAGCAACCGATTATACAAAGAAAAAGAATGTCTTGAGATTACGATTATCGGATAATTCTGAATATCTATTTATGGCAAATACCCAGAATGCAATGGTGGAATGGTTGACTAAAATCGGTTTTTATGCAGGTATGTAGTTTGAATTTTTCAAATTATTTCCATAAACATTTGAGACATAGAAGGTAGTCATAATTTTACTAATAGAATGAAACTAAAAGCATGTTGCTTTATGAAAATTTATGGTTTTGTTTTGAAATTAATTTGGTTATGTAGTTGAGGAAGGTGCTACTAAAATTGTTTGGTTATTTTTGTTTTTAATGTGCCAAGTTTCAGAGTTTCGTGCTGTGTTAACTGCATTTAAAATGTCTTCATTTGTGAATTCTGTATATCCTTTGTGAATTAGAGTACTTTGTGAATAAGTGATACCTATTAACCTGATTAAATGCATGTGTACTAAAATATAGTGCATTTGTACTAAAAATGAGGGCAATTGTTACATAGTACTGAGTGCATTTATACTTTGATATAGTGCATTTGTACTTTGATATAGTGCATTTATACTTTGATATAGTGCATTTGTACTCAAATATGCAATTGTTCTCATTTATGGGGTATTTGAGACCTGATATTTTATTTTGTCCTACCTCACCCTGGGACCATTTTCAGTTAATCTCAGCTGCCAGCCTCTAGTGATGACCATCCCAATCCCGACAGCTGTGATGTCATTAAAATAGATCTTGATTTATTATGACGCATCCGGATTCCATGCCACAATCCACGATTATTTTACATTCTTACTAACCAATCACCCGATATCTTTTAGAACCAGTTCATTACAGCGAACAGCATCCTGAGGCGCCCTCTGGCATTGGTAATTTAATCAATAGGTGGGAGTCGGGTGGTGCGGGTAAGCTTAGCGTCTATAAATCCTCCTCACTTTTTGAGTTGCCTTGGATTTGTTCCTGCATCTAGTGTTAGTTTTATCATCGCTTGGTTTTTGTATTATTATTATGTCACCACCAGAAGTGGTGACATATTGCTCAACTTTTTTGTGGATAGTGACGGTGGTCAACAATCAGCCGTTGGCATTCAGCATTTGGAGTTTGGCATCTGTAACAAATGACAGGTGGTGACATTTTGCATGCTAATGCCTTGTTTTATATGTTGTTGCTGAATGGATTTTGCTGTTACTATCTGGATTTTGTCAATACTCAATGTTTGTTGTGACTGTCTAATTCTGTTGTTAGGCAACTGAATTTGTAGTGACTCAACTGTATGTGTTGTGACTGGCTAAATCTGTTGTTAGGCAACTAAATTTGTTGTGACTGGCTAAATATGTTGTTAGACAACTAAATTTGTTGTGACTTAACTGTATTTGTTGTGACTGGCTAAATCTGTTGTTAGGCAACTTTTGTAGTGACTCAACTTTTTTTGTTGTGGCAAAAATGTGTTGGTTTTTTCCTTTTTCTCTAGTATCTTTGTTAAATGCTGTGAACTCATTTGTAGATTCAGAATTTTCAGATAAAAGCTTGGGGATTGTAAGCAGTGGAGGAACAAAATGTTAAGCTATAAACAATGTTCAAAAATTACAAATCAAATTTTGTCTTACAGGGGAGGGAGGGGGTTAACTATAATGAAATTAATTTTATATTTCCACAACTGCTGACAATTGGACCCAATTCCTTAAGTGTATCGAAAAAGATACATGGGTTCATTTCTTGAGCAGATTCAGATATATTCTTAGTAAATGCTACAAGAGAATTGGTTAGGTTCTAAGAGACCAACCTGTGATCTAATAAGGCCTCAGTCACATTTGATCTACAATTTGATCTGTAACTTTCTCATAACTTTCCAAAACTGAGAGAAATATGCAGCATAAAATATAGGGATAAGCTGTGCGATGTAGATTTTTTATATCGATGATGTAACTCTTCTTTAGTTCATGTGTACTGTCCATTGAGGGATGGGGTAGAAAGCTTTACTTCCTTGTTGGGTCTGGTATTTACTCTGTAACTGTAGAAAATTGGCATTGAATTAGACCAACTCTTTTCATTATATTTGTGTACTAAAACATATAACCATGTTTATGAATATGATTTCAAACTTTGTATGTGTTTTAAAGCATGTTCAGTTAAACCTGTATATTCCGAATCCTCTCTAATCTGAACAATTTTTTCGATTTAATTTGAAAAAAAAAAACATGTTAAAAAGTTGAGATGTGAACATTTGCCAATCCAATAATTTTTGGCTGGTCCCACTTGGCATTTGGATTATACAGGTTTCATTGTGACTTTACATGTATTCTAGTGTTTTAGTTTCCTATGTGTTTTAAAACATATTACAATATGCAGTAGTTTTTTGAAATCATGTATAATGTATATGTGTTTTAAATTGTATTACTAAAAATGTGTTTGTGTTTTAAGACGTGTACATGTAATTACAAACTGTGAATTGCCTTAATTTGGCCATATTTAATTTGGTGGATTCAAACCGCCAAATTTACAGTACATCCTTGTGTTAACCAATATCTGAGTTTTTATTTATATGTTATTTAGATTTCATGTGAGTTTTTCAGGGTATTGCCAGAGCAGACCAACATACAATACATTTTCTTATGTTGATGTTCTTTTTCTACATTGTTAATACACTGATTTTTAGAATTCTCTTAAATTCATTAAATTCTTGTCTTGTCTTGGTTTCATCAGATTGGAAACGAAAGGAAGGACAGCCTGGGGATTTATCATCATCAAGCCCCACCCGCAAATCAGGCCCTGGGGGGTCAGGTGAGGGTGAGGGGATTGCCCCAGGGGGTGAGAAATCCTCTGTTGGGGAATCCCCAGGGGTTGTCTCACAATCTGAGATTGGTAAGGTCATATATACAGTTTGTGTGTAACACATCCAGGTTTTTAATACCCAAATCCAGTTTCTCGAATTCAGTATTCATTTGAGATTTTCAAAAATGGTTTTACTGATTGTCAAGGAATAGTTTCAATCTTTTCTTGGTTACAACCTGTAACAATACATTTTATCAATCATTTTCAAATTCTAATTTTTCGAGAAACTGGATTTTTAAATCTCTTGGCATAGCAGAAGAGATACATTAAACCGATGGTTTCTGGGAGTGATCCTCCATCTATGGAACTGATGGTTTCTGGGAGTGATCCCCATCTATGGAACTGATGGTTTCTGGGAGTGATCACCCTCCTGTGTTTTATCCACATCATCTCCTGGTCTAGTATTATTCACTCTCAAGTAATGCTTTTCAAAAAGATTTAATAATTCAATTTTAACACAAATTATAATTCTGCCATTTTCTTTGCAGGCCTATGCCTTTAGTGTGCGTTTGTGGCTTGCAATTTGCATAATATTATAATTATACAGGAAATAATAAGAATTTAATATGTTTGAAAAGTTTTGCTTGTGCTAGCATTTTTGTCTTTAACATTTTATCATCCCACATGATGTTATTTGCACCCAGGAGTCTTTCTAAAGGATGTCATTTCTACCCAGGGTTCACTACAAAGAATGTTAACTGTACCCAGGGTTCAAAGCAAAGGAGGTGGTTAACCTTGGTTCATGTTTCATCTCTATAGAGTTATATTGATACTTAACGAGACCCAGTCCTAGCATGCATGTCTTTTTATCATTCAACATTTTGCAGTGACGTTTTGTCACAGCATATTCGTCACAGCATACTCTTCCATTTTAGGCCATGGATCTTCATTTATATTTCTTCATATAGTTAAATACATAATTTAAAAAAACTTTATTTTTATATGCACATAACAAAGGTAAAAAGTATTACAAAATTCCCGAAAAATTGCATATCCCGCAATAGGATATTGTGATGATATCCCATTATAGTATCTATTGATGGTATTCTAAGTCCCCTGCATGCCTATTTCATATTCATTTTATTTTATTTATAATTATCGTTTGTTTATATATTATAAATTATTATTTATTTATATGTTATTGTAAATAGTGCATGCAATTCATTCACCCCATACAAGTTCTACCTTGGATTATTAATATACAAATATTGAATGAGGTTGAGTGCAATACCTGTATATATTCTGAGGGTGTATTCCACGCAGCCCGGAGCCACGGATGGTATATATTCCCCAGAAATATATTAAGGTATTGCACGAAAACAGAATTCAATATTTGTTTTATTATTTCATCCATATCAACAGTTTAACAATGTGTCTCAAAAATCGAAAATTGGATAAATAATGCCACATCAGTAGGACGACACATTGCCTTAACCCATCAGTTTTATGACGTGCACATCCGCATGGGACTATATCTTTACAGCGGGGATTTCAAGTTTTTGTCAGTGCAGACATAGAAAGTTGCGGTTCTTATACGCGCGCGTTTTTTGATATTTTCATTTGAAACTTGCAGGAACGGTGCTTTGAATCTAGCTCTCTACTCTTTGAAAACGTCATGTATAATCAATACAGTTGAACTATTTATTTTTTGTCGTGAAAATATTATTTTTTTAGTTTATTTTTATTTTACAACTTTTTGGGAAAAAATGTAACAAATTTTTATTTCATGTCATATTTATCCGATATTTTGTCATCATGAAATTCGAGATTCTTTTTAATGATGGTGCAAATTTCATAACAATTGATGAATTTTTATTATCAGTGTTATGTTTGCCAAAAACGGTGTACCACTGTGCATGTTTCTTTAATTGACGGCACATTTGCCTTTAATTGGGCGAACGTACGGGTCCCGACGCAATAAGCCTTATTTGATTTAATACACTCAAAAATAAAGTTTGCTATCAAATCGAAATGTTCATAAAACATTAACCTTGCCTTTGTTTTCCCAATTCTAAAAGCAAGCCAAATAAACGATGATAATCGTTTGACTCTCGAGACAACAGAACTTGAACTTGAACATGCTAAAATCAAAGTTACCTATAGTTACGCTTGTAAAGTTAATTACATGTTTAACGGCCTGCTGAGTGAATGTATCTAATCAAATTTGTGACATACCCATAAGATCGTAGATCACAATTCTAAGTTTAAAATGTAATTTGGGTTCGTAAGAAGTATTTCTGTTTTAAACTTACCTTTGCTGTCTGAAAAAGATCAATAATCAGAGACGGGGATGTTGAATCCTATATTTCCTTTGAACATGTTGAATGACCTGCATTTGTACTACGAAATGATCCTGTGGAGAAAAGTTGATGAATTCGAAACAGCTAGTTCTAGCAGATCTACTAGTATAAGCTTACTTTCTAAAAGTATTTCAATGTTAAAAATATCTATTCAAATGTTTCATTTTTAAAATGATCTTGGCTTCCCTTAACTTAAATGTGTGACTTATGAAGAATGCTTTTTACCACATCAAACTTAAGACGTGAATTTGACAATTACTCGATACATGTTATAACGCGATTTTCTTTCATTTTCTACAAAAATGGTATGTTTTCAAACGGTTACTTATGTTAATCTATGACCGTGGTATGATTGAAAATGAAAGAACTGAACAAAGTATTGTCGACTTGTTTGAATTATAAGATTTATTTTGATTGATTTAATCTCTTTTTGAATTTTAAAACTTTTGTCCGAATTACATCTGCTATGGAATTAAAGTTCAAATATACCTCAGAATTGCTTATTGAATTAACCTTAGCAATTTATTTGAAAATAATTCTTTACATAGGTTATATATCATAGATCATAGATATGTAAAAAATAAAAATGTGTTTTGAAAGATGAATTGATAACAAACGTTTTCGCACACGTGCCATTTCCACTTTCAGCCCACTTAAAGCACGAAATCCCGTATGACGTAATATAACGAAAATGCGCAGATAATTGATATTTTTTATTTTAATTCAACTCACATTGACCGTTCAGTTATGAACGTGTTTAAAGTTCTCATGTTAAAATAAATAAATATGTGGAAAGGCAATGGTTTAAAGCTTATGAAAATGTCAAAATCATAATTCGGTTTTTAAAATAAGATATTGACTTGCATTCACGCACATGTGACATTATCTCTTTTTGTGCGATTCAAACATAAAAATCTCATTACAGTTGTACATAAGAACCAATCTTAACCATGTCTTTCTAATAGAAGGAACTAAATTTGAATCAAAAAAATAATTCTATGTAAAGATGATTCCCCATAGATATAATAAATGTCAAAAATGTCAAAAAAATTATCAAAAATTAAATACTCACACCCTTTTAAGCACACATGACCTTCTCCAGTTTTGCTCATTTAATTTACCTTGAAAACCAAGGAGACCGAACGCAATTTCTAAATACAACCTTGATACACGTGTACCAGGTCTATAATTGCATTTTCTCATGGAAGGAACCAAGCAAAAATTATAAAAATAATTCTGCGTAGAGGTGATGCTTCACAAATTATATTAATGTCAAAAAATTAATTCATTTCTTCAAAATTAATTACTGACACGCATTCACGCACACATGAAATTTTCCAGTTTTGCTTATTTCATCTACCTTGAAAACCAATGAGACTGGACGCAATTACCAAATACTTCTTTGATACGCGGACCAGGTCTATAATTGCATTTTCTCATGGAAGGAATCAAGCAAAAATTATAAAAAATAATTCTATGTTAAGGTGATGCTTCACAAATAATATTAATGTCAAAACTTTAATTCATTTCTTCAAATCCAAATACTGACACGCTTTTACGCACACATGACCTTTTCTTCTTTTGCTCATTTTATTTATCCTAAAAACCAGTGGGCCTAAATACATTGTCCGATACTTCTTTAATATGTATCAGGTCTAAAATTGCAGTTTATCATGAAAGAAATCGAACAATTATCATAAAAATAATTATGTGTAAAGGTGATGTTCTTCAGATTATATAAACATCAAAATTGTAATTCATTTATTGAAAGTTAAATATCCACATGCTTTTGGGCACACATAACCTTTTCCCTTTCATTCATTTTATCTTTCTTTAAAATCAGTGAGCCTGAACTCATTGCTAAATATTTTTTGATACGAGTCAGCTCCAGGTCTAAAATTGCATTTCATCATGGAACAAATCGAGCAATCATTATGAAAATAATTCTGTGTAAAGGTGATGTTCCAAAGACAATATATATGTCAATTTGATAATTCAGTTACTCAAAATGAAATATCCACATGATTTTACGCACACATGATAATTTCCTGAATGATGCTACTTTTTGGATTCAACCATGCATATAACGTCGTAAAATACACATTTCTACCGAAATTATGCCCAGCCGTTTTCGTAGAAAATGTAACAAATGAAGGCATTTTATCGGAACTGATTGATATTTGGTACTTATAGAATATCGTATTTACTTCAACTTTTTAGCGATTCAGACATTAAAAAAAATTATGTTTAATCAATGTTAATTTCGCACGAATATAGGGTACAAAATGAGTGAAAGTCTCACGTGTTTGATTGCATTTTACTCCCATTTTTGTGCATTTTTTATGTCCCCACCACATAGTGTGGGGCCATATTGTCGGCCTAGGCGCGTCCGTCTGTCCGTCTGTCTGTCCGTCTGTCTGTCCGTACGTCCGGCAGTTTTCTCCAAAACCGCTACAGATATCACCTTCAAATTTTCAGGGATAACTTATGAGTGCATACAGATGTGGATGAAAAAAAATTAACTCGATACCTACTTCCTGTCGGCCATTTTGAAGTCAAATGCTAAAATCCTTGTCTGCAAACTTTAAGAAAAACTGCTTCACAGTTGCTTTTAAAACTTTAACATCTTGTTCAGCTCACTTCATTCTAGATCTGATTAGGTTTTGGACCTGCTAGCTCAGTCATGTCAGCCATTTTGAATGTCTTAAGAAAAGTTAGCGCGTGATAATACTTTGTATCATATTGAATGGTGTTTTTGAGTTTTCATACTTTAACTATTTAGTAGCTTTATAAATAATTTCAGATGTACTTTGCTGTAAAAGCCTACTTTATTGTTAACAGTAGTTATATGTGATAATTTTGTAAAAAGAAATCAGCAAAAACTCATAAGGACTTTTTTATTGTCGGCCATTTTGGATTTTTCGGTCCTAAAATCTTGTCTGTGAAGTCTTGTCTGCGCGTTTTCAGGTGAACCGTTTGGTGGATTAATTTCAAATTTTCAGGGATGATTCTTAGTATAAAAATCTAGATCTCATTAGTTTTTTGGCATTCTGGGTAAATGTCAAGGCAGCCATTTTGGATTTTCCGTCCTAAAATCTTGTCTGTAAAGTCTTGTCTACTCGTTTTCAGGTGAACCGTTTCGTAGATCAATTTCAAATTTTCAGGAATGATTCTTAGTATGAAAATCTAGAACTGATTAGTTTTTTTGCATTCTGGGTAAATGTCAAGGCAGCCATTTTGGATTTTCCGTCTTAAAATCTTGCCTGTAAAGTCTTGTCTACGCGTTTTTAGGAGAACGGTTTGATAGATCAATTTCAAATTTTCAGGGATGATTCTTTGTATGAAAATCTACATCTGATTACTTTTTTTGCATTCTGCGTAAATGTTAAGGCAGCCATTTTGGATTTTCTGTCCTAAAATCTTGTCTGTAAAGTCTTGTCTACCCGTTTTCAGGTGAACCGTTTGGTAGATCAATTTCATATTTTCAGGGATGATTCTTAGTATGAAAATCTACAAACAGATTAGTTTTTTGACATTCTGGGTAAATGTCAAGGCAGCCATTTTGGATTTTCCATCCTGAAATCTTGTCTGTAAAGTCTTGTTTACATGTTTTCTGGTTAACTGTGTGACGGATCAATTTCAAATTTTCAGGGGTGGTTCTTAGTATGAAAATCTAGAACTGACTAAATTTTTGGCATTCTGGGTAAATTTTAAGGTGGCCACTTTGGATTTTCCGTCCTCAAATTGTGTTGGTAAAGTCTTGTCTACTCATTTTCAGGATAACCATTTCACGGGATCACCACTTGGTGGGGACATTTTGTACACATTTGTGTTCTTGTCTAACATTAAAATGAAATACTGTACGCCCGGTATTATTCGCGAGCTTTAATTTCGCGAATTTTGCGAAAACACGGTTTCGCGGCTATTAAATTTCGCGAATACTGTATTTTATCGTATTCGGGGATTCCCCAGTATATGAAATTCAGTTCCTAGTACATTCCCCAGTATGTGATGTCAAATCAAATTGCAGGCTACGATCACGTGAGCAATCGTGCGCACGTGCTCTTTCATTGCCGCGCATGCGCATAGTAAAGTCATGGAGTTGCACAGTACTACTGAAGTACTATAACTCGATCCAAACTAATAGACAAAACGAAATGCATCAGAGCCCCGGGTAAAAACAAATCCCCGGGGATTTAATTGGCAATTTCGCGACGATAATTTTTCGCGATTTTAACACCCTCGCGAAAAGCGCGAAAGTTAATCGCACGCGAATAATACCGGGCGTACAGTAGTTGGAAAGAAGAGATCAGTAGAATTCTATCCGTCACTTTCATTTTCAAATGTTTAAATGTTTCCCGTTTCATTGGACCTCATAAAGATGGTAGCCAACGGACCAGAAACAAGTAGTGCGATGACGTCATATATCGCTACACCACTTTGATATAAAGTTTGGTAAACAACAATGGGTTTTTTCAATGTGTCGTCCTACTGCATGTTTACAGTAGCCTATACATGTGACGTCACATTTGTTGAATACCTGTATTTATTTTTTCTAAAAATACACCTTTCATATCGATGACTTACACATGAATGGAATACCTTGTGGTATTTTTGGTCACATGGTACATGACTGACCAATCACATGCTGATTATCACTACACTACAAAGAAATAATAATGCTTGATATCATTGCATCCATTGTTTGAAATTGGAGTATATCAATGTTTTACTATTTTTTATGCCTTAACAATCAAAGGTTTGATTGATTTTTAATGATTCAAGAAATTTTTTATATTTCATGCTTCAGTCAATCATGTTCTTTGGTACCTATGCATAGAATTAGTGTCTAATAGCGTACTTCACATACATGTAGATTTGGTACCTACTTTGGTACTCCACATATATTTTGTACACATATGCTTTGTACCAATTTTTTGTACTTTTCACACTGTTAACGCTTCACAACATATCAGTAAGAAACTGTTTTTGTGGTTTGATTTTAATCTAATGAAAAGCTTTAGCCTACTGTAAACTAACACTCATTTAAAACACATGACAGACCAACTTTAACAAAAGCAAAAGCTGTGCAACTTTTTGAACATAAATGAAACAATTTGAAACATTGTGTCTTATTCTTCCTTGTAGAATTTTTAAATTGTTAAAGTTGCTTCTAATTAAAGTAAAATATTTATCTTTAAATGTAAGCCAATATGCATTATTCAAATGAAGTACTTTGGAAAATGATTTAATTTCTGAGTTTATAAACCACATATGTTATTCTGAATTTAAAGATGGAAGAATGTTTCATCAAATGGTTTTCGTGTACAGTGAAACCTGACAAGTGGAACACCTCTTAGTAGAACACATGTGAACACTTTCTTGTAGTACCATTTACAGGTTTTACTGTACTAATTTGTTGAGTATAATGTGTTACATACTTCGTCTAATATGTTCATTTTCCAGTTATTTGGTTTTGGATGTCAGAGTTTTCTAATATATGAATGTGCGTGGTATTCATTTCTCACTAGAAAATATAACAATAGTGTTTTTCATGTACAATTCTTATAGTTCTTCATCTTACTATTTCAGGGTTGCCACCTGCTGAACAGCTCTCCAGGTTTGACCCAGAGAGGGCACCACATGTAGATGTCCCAAGCCCAGGAAGTAGTCGGAGGAGTTATGGTGATAGCACTAGTCCATCATCAGAGAAACGATTTGGCGGTAGCCCCAGGGTCCCTGTACAGCCCTCTAGGGGCCCCCCTAGCCCTGCTTCCAGTCATAGCTCAGTAGATCATGACACTAAACGGCATTCTGCAGGGGGCCTTCCTATTGAGCGCCCTCTCCACCCAGATCAGCGTCCACAAGCCAGTAAGAACCCTCTGAAATTATTATCATTTAGAGAGGAACAAAGTAAGAAACCAGCTATAATTAATAGGCGTGCAGATGTTGTAACAGCTGCAGATGTAACAGCTTTAGATGGTGTGAATACTAACAAACCCATAACTAATCCCGTCAAACAAGACAATGATAATTTTGTAGCTCCCGTCAGGCCACCACCAACCAACAATAACCAAAAGGCTGACGTCACTGACCTGAACGGCAGTACCTCTCCACCTCCAATACCAGAGAGCACTTTACCTCCTTCACTGGAGAGCAGGCATGCCCACAACACCTCCATTGACAGCACTCCTGACAGTCTTAGATCAGATGGAAGAAGGAGGTCTAACACTTCCCAGGGTTCCACAAGTACAGGTAAACTCAAAATTATATACATATTCACTTTCCCAGTCACCTATTGTTGTAGATTTATTGTTGTCTACTCTAAAATATCTGCTTAAAATACACAGAGATAGAGTAGCTCTGATCTGGTCAGTGTTTCAAAAGGTCATGTCCGAATTGTTGTCTGGCTTCACAGCCGGGGCAGATAATAACTGCTATTACAGATCATTTAATCTGTTTAATGAAACACTTATGGAGTTGATTTCATGCTTATTTTTTGACATGTGATTTCATGAATAGCTCACCCACACATAGCCCATTAACTTTAAATTACTGTAAATACTTTCTTATTTCTTTTTTTTATGGAACCTTTCATTGTTTTCCAAAAGTGTTTTCCAAAATATTTCCACACTATACTGTATCATTTTCCATGTAGGTAATTGTCCGACATATTCCTACATGGGTGGGTTGCCACCCTGTCCCTATATAATATGTAATGAAACACCCTGTCTGTCTACCACCTTCTATCCACTCAGTGAAAGCAATGACATGTCGAATTGAGTGTTTAAAATATGGCAGTTCAAGCTACTCTGTCACTGCATCATAATTGTCGACTTACACCTCTCCTGCCTACTGCACTAACCACTGCAGAATTCAAATGCAAAAATTCACAATTTTACAGTAAATATACATTTTTTCTCAGTTACGTAAAAATTGATAGGTAACAACAATAAAAGTTTAATATTTATCAAGGAGTGAGTTAACTGATAGCTTATAACTAATATCAACTGATAGCTTATAACCTATGGCTTATGAATGTTTGTAATCTAATTGCTTCAAAAATAGAGACTTTATTTGTTGCATTAACAAACACCCCCTACAAAAGTATGGTTACTCCAACTCTCTTGGGCTGTGTGTTAATATCTGTTTTATATTTTAAAAATTGACCAAATCAGTATTACATTCATAATGTAATTCAGAATTGAAAATTTAAATATAAACAGGTTTGAACTTACTATACAAAAATATTTGGGTGGGTTAATGTCTGAATATTAGTTATATGTTTAAGTTATCAGTTGCCTTAAATGTAAAAGTTGATCGACAGAGTCCCTATTGAAGAGAAAAACAAATCTATATAAACGTTTATACCATTTCTATTTATCCATCAATCCCTTTTTAATACCTTCTCTCTATCCCCTTCCGGACAGTTATTAAATCCACTTTATACAAAGCATGAATTGAATTTTTAAACTTGACATATTTGATTTAACATTTTTGTTTGTATATTAGACTTGGCACCACCCATATCCTACATTGGGCCTCCCATGCCAGACATTGGGCCTCCTTTACAAGATATGGGGCCTTATATGACAAACACAGAACCTTCTGTGACAAACACAGAACCTTCTGTGACAAACACAGAACCTTCTGTGCAAGACATAAGGCCTCCCATGCCTCCAAAACGCCCACCACAACCTCTATCTGTCCCTCCCCCTCTTGTTGCCATGATACCAAATGATGAAGAGAGAGAGGAGCCAGAATTGCCACAACCAAACAACGGAGCACCACCGAGGCCCCAGCCACCTTTCCGGCGACTCTCAGACCCTTCAAGTCCCACACGGGGTTGGTGAACTTTGCACCCATTTAGTTATTTGACCCTCATAGTTAATTAATCCACCCATTAGTTAACTAATTCCCTCTTAGATAAATAATTTGCCTTGTTCCTTGTATGTTCTTAGTATGGATGCTATTTGTGAAAAGGTCAAAATGGTATTTTGCTCAACTTTTTTTCTCACCTTAATGACCAGTGCAGAACATTAGACAGTTGTATAATTTTTTTTAAGATACTATAGTATGTGCATTTTGGGAAATCTTACACTATGTTTTAAAATGATTGGCATAAAAAGAGTATATTAAACAAGCAAAATGTGACACTCTAAAAATTCCCAAATCGACTATTTTTGCTTGAGTTTAATTACAAAATCAGCATTTTCTTGTTTGTATTTCTACCCCTTGCTTGCTTGCTTTGCTTAATTGTCTCTTCATAGCCATGGTAAAATATATTGTATTTTATAGAATTAAATGTTAGTTCAAAAGAGTATATTGGTGGCATTATATTGTTTAACATGGAATGCTTATAACTTTCCCACTTATTATGTAAGCATGAGACTGTATGTATTATACTGAATGACATTATTTATAATATGGCATGCTACCTCCCCTCCCTTTATTATTCAACATAGGCATTGGACTGAATGTATACTGATTGGTTGGGAAAACTGACCCTACAGTATCTTCTGTATTTGACTTACTAAGATATTAGATACTAAAGAGGTTTTACTGCATCTATACATGATATGATATAGCTCAATTTTGTTTTCAAACACTGTTTTTTCAAACAATTTATTTTCAACTTTTTTGACTTTCATTGGGTTATGATTTCCGATAGGATAAACGTACAAAAAATACCGACTTGGGCAAGGCTAAATCCTATGGTTACAACAATATCAATTGTATCCATTCATGGATATAAATTATATTATTTCAAAACCATAGGATTTTCCTATAATATCCATAGATACTATCATAGTATTGTATGTGCATATAATATTAAAGCATGTTTATTAAGTGAAGACTAGGAAATGGAAAACATTTGCATCCCAAGACCTTAATAGCATGATTAAGTCTACTAACCAAAATTAGAAATATATTATCTGTATATAAAGATGTTTTATAAATGTTTATACTGAAAGCTTTATTATTGTACTCCTTATCTATCTCTTTTTTGTTTATTTAATGTAGCTGTATATGGTTTTCCATCTTAAGTTCAAATATGAAGTAATTTGGGTTTTTATTTCTGGTTTAAACTTTATAATTTACAGTTCTAAATGTTCCTTAGTTCTAACTGGTTGAAATAGGTATATTTGTACATGTATAGTATGTATACTGACTATGTAGTTATATGTATTAAGTACATATAATTGTGCATTAGTAACTGTATAATACAGTACATATAACTAGTAGTCATGTATTTAGTACATGTAGTCATATATACAGTACATGCAGTCATGTATACAGTACATGTAGTCATGTATACAGCACATGTAGTCATGTATACAGTACATGCAGTCATGTATACAGTACATGCAGTCATGTATACAGTACATGCAGTCATGTATACAGTACATGTAGTCATGTATACAGTACATGCAGTCATGTATACAGTACATGCAGTCATGTATACAGTACATGTAATCATATATACAGTACATGCTGTCTGTTTAACCAGTTGGACTGGGAAGTAATCACATTATGTTATCACATATGCTTTATCACATAATATGCATGTTATCACATATCATTTCAGATGCATCTTCAGGCTTGTCACCACGATCACCTGACCAGGTAAATATTATGTTGTATAATGATCAAGCATTACTACTAGTACAGTATATTTAAAGCTTACCTCTCAGAACCACAATAGAAACCGTTTGATTTCGTTTGGGGTTTATGCCTACATCACATTTGTTCCGATTCATTGGCCGGCGCCTGGTCAATTGAGTATTTTGTTCAAATTTGAAAGTCAAATCTGAACTTTGAGGTCAGATGTGAACTCCTTAGGACTTGGACATGATTTTTGAAAAAAAGTTTGGCCAGTTTGACCTTGGTATTAGTTTGCCAAGCAAACATTTATGTAAAGTGTTATAGGAATTGAAAAATTACATTCACATAAGTTTTGAAAACAATTGGTGTATCTGATATAAAACTGTTCAGATCTTGACTGTTTGAAGAGTGAAAATAATGTTCTCCATAAACAATTCAATTTCAGGCTTGCATGATAATTTCCAACACTATAAGATGTTCTATTATTTTTTCAGGCTCCTCCAATCCCATCCCAACCTCCACGCCGACACAGCTCTGGCCTGCCCCCCGGGCCGTCCATCGCACAGTCCCACTCCAGTGGTACCAATGGCCACGCTCCTGATACCTCACCCTCAGAGGGTGTTCCACTACGCTCTGCCCCCTTACGACCAGATTCCCAACCCCTGGGTGCACGTCACAGTGTGGCAACAGTGCCCTCTGGTGGTGCGTCATACACACTACCTGGACATGCATCTGATCAACATATCCAACATAGTCGATTCCGCAACGAGGGCCCCAACCAGCCCACTGCAACCTTACCCCCACGTACCCCCAGAGACTGGGGGTCAACAGAGGACAGTAGTAAAAAAGTGGAGAAAGAAAAGAAAGGAAAACGATTTAGTATATTTAGCAAGAAGAAAAAGGACAAAGAAAATAAATGATATGGTATACATTGATTGTATACATAATAAGCCCTAATATGTGATTTTTGTAATTATTTTTCTGGCATTTAGGCCAGTCTGTGTAAAATAATCATGCACCCTAATATGCGTATAGCCTACACAGCAATACTTGGTCGAATATGTCAAATATATTATGCAAATAGTGGTATTTTTCAAATAATTATGTGCAAAAAATAGTTAAGATTGCATACAAATATACAGGATTGTGTTCAAATGTGATTATTTTTTGTTAATTTTTTAGTATCTTTTTATTCAGTGGTTTCAAAAGCAGAAATATAGAATGTTTAATTTATAGTAATATTTGGTAACTGCCAGTCTGCCACCAATTAAAAAATTATTAGAACATCATAAGTTTGTATTCAATTTTTATTCACATTTTATTTTCTGTTTTTTCATGGTTTTACACTTAGACGATTATGTTTTTTACCATGACATTGTATTCTGCAGAATTTGCCTTAAAGTGTTGGTTTCAGAAAATTCAACAATTTTGTGTTGATTCCATTAGGCTATTGTACTCACAGACGTTTAACAAACAGCCTGATTTTCTAGTATCTCTTTATAATTGAATTTAGAGTGTTAGTAAGTTTACAGCATGTCTTCCTAATTTAAAAATGGTATAACTCTTTTTCCATTTTGAATTATTTATGCATATTATTGAAAGGTCAGTTGAAATAAGAATATAACTTAATTTTGTTCACTTTGTTCTTATGTTTTTTCACATTGTTTTTCAGATTGTTTTTTAACTATATTTTTTCATTTCAAGATGAGACAACAAAAGTTTTCTTCCAAGATACTGTACTTCAATCTAGATTATCAGAGAAATCTAAATTTATGAATGTTTTTATTTTTGCATTATATAATATATTGCAATTGTTATGATATATATAGTGTATTATATACATATGTCATATAGGCTTATACCATATATTATGAGGTAAATACTTTATAAAGTTTGTAAAATTATGTAGAGCTATAATATATATTCTTTATACGGCTTTCTTCACATTTACTACAAGATAGAAGGATGGGCAATATTAAATAAATAATACATGTACAGTTACTTAATAATAATATATAAAATTAATAAAAATGTTGTTGTGTTCTTTCGAGTTCTCTTAATGAGAGAGGAATATAGATGGGAACTATATATGGCTTTCTTACCCCATTTGAAAGAAGTTGGATTACATGTTGGTGGCAATCTGAGTACTGTTTTAGTGTCTTCTATGAAAGCAGATTGTTTACTCCAAAATATCTAGGACTATACATTTAAAATTGTAGTGTCATTATCCATTGCTAGGCCTATTGTAATATGTTGCTATTCCACCATCACTGATCTGTCTGTTCATTTTTTATCCATATACTGCTGTGACACATTTTCCATCGCATTGATGCATGATGCATGAATTCTTATTTCTAGTTAAAAGGTAAATCTAACTGGCGACTTTTTTAGAAATTGCTATACATGGCCAAATTGTTTTCTGTTACAAAATAAATTATGACGACACTGTGTACTTAAGTTTTTATTTTGAGAAGAATGTTTAGTTTCACTTAGTATCGTGCATAAGAAATGAATTGTAGACCATACATGTTGTGAGAAACGTGGAGACGAAAATAGGCAGCCATAAATAAAATAAGACAAAACAAGGATACTTTCCTTAATAAAATGCACATATGTTTCCATGCTTTATTTTGTACCAAAAAATTTACATCAGGGTATAGGAATCTTCAGAATTGTCTCCGTTTAGATTCATAATAATTCAACCCGAAAAACAAATTATTCCAAAGTTGAGGGCCACCCTGTAGAAATGTAGCTACAAAAGGTGACAACATATATTGATGAGTTGACTTTGCCAAATTGCGTATATCTACTTAAAGATAAAGATACTTAATAAGTAGTACTATGTATTCAGTTACGTTTATTGTAATTGATAACAGTGCTTATTTCGAAATTGGTGTATCCGATTCGTTGGTGCTGTAATTATAATTGGAACCACTGTTTTTCTACGTAGCTCTCTGTATCTGATTTATGAAGCATCTGAAAACAGAATATCATTATAATAGATATGCAGCATATACCAGATAGAAAAAATACCCCAAAAGCTTCTTTTCATCAGTTTTCACTCAGTAGAAACGGAACACCAAGAAACAAGACCTAGTAGTTGGATCATATATAGATACTTAGATTAAGCTCTCTTGTAATAATACGTTCTGTTTTCATAATATACCTCGTTGGTAAGGGATTGTGTAGATATATCCTTCATCATCTCCAACTAACAAAACTCCTGGACTCTTGACAGTGACGGCGACTGGTTTACCCTGCACTGGGATGAATCCCTGAAGTTCGCCAATAAAGTTCAGACGTACTATCCTGTTGTTCGAGTAGTCTGCTATGAATACACCGTAGCTGCTATCTATGCAGACGTCGAGGAGTTTATCAGTCGATCCGCCGTACCTAAAGGTCTCATGGCCCCCCGCTTCAATCATGGACATCTCGAAAGCGATAACCAGATTATCACTGCGGTCACTTACAATGGTAAGATTTCCCATTGTGGCCAAATAATTAGGAGAAGTAAATGTATGTACAAGTGTTCTATTACCATCATTTTTGAGGGAGAATTGATATAAACCACCAGTCGCCGCATCTATGAGCGCCATAAATTCCATTTGCCTTACTAATTCTCCTTGAAGATATTTCGCATCTAACACAGCAAATTCTTGCACACCAATAAACTGAGTAACAAGAGTTTTCCGATCAGTATCATATAAAACTGCACTACTAGTTGAGTTAAGAAAGAACAGCACTTTACCCAGGTTGCTAACACGACTGAAACTTTCGTTCAGATCTATGTAACTATTGAAATCATCATCATAAATACGTGACGACTGGCCGTCTTTACGAGTTACCCCAACTTTTCCACTTGGTAAAACAGTGATATCGAGTATTCCTTCTGTGAATAATCTAATCCGTTCAACACCTGCAATTACATGAAATCAAAAATGAATGTTAAAACTCAACATCAGTTTTAAGTTTTTTGAACCATGAGTTATTTTTCTAATTTTAGTATGTATCTGGTCCAGTTGTTGTACCTGGTCCAGCTGTTGTACTTGGTCCAGTTGTTATGTCTGGCACAGCTGCTTGGTAGTGCACACAAAATTCGCCTCTGCAACCTTTGGCTAACCACATGAACCCTGTTCTATAATCGAAGCTCCAGTTGTCGGCCATCGTGCATTTTGTCCTGAAATACATACAGGTTTTGTTTTAGATTCAGCTTACACAAACCTCGCCTCTGCCATCTTTAGCTACCTTAAACTGGTGCATTGTCCCTGCTCTATTATTCAAGCTCCATTTATTGTTCATTATACAATACAGGATATCCAAAGGGTTAAGTAAAAATGCTCTAATTTCCAGATATTCACATGCTGTGTGATAAAATTGCTATTGAGATAGCGTCTCAGGTTATTAATTTATTTTTAAGATTTTCTGTTATTTCCACTTTTGTAATTAAATGTATGAAAATAAAGAAACAAGATAAACTGACCCTACCTTGATATCTGGGTCTTGAGTGTTACGTCTTGTACAGACATCGATGTCAAGAATGGCTTGTCATTGAACACAGGACATGTGACGTTCCTCCATCTTTTACTTGCACATGGAAAGCAATACGTTCCTAGAGGTGAAATAACAAAATCAATAAGAAGAGTCTCCTCTTGTATAAACAAAAACATTTTGGCCACTCATCGTACACTTTCAATACTGTTTTTGGTCAGCCCTCGGCTTATTTGAAAATGAATATGATCAGGCTCTGTTAATAGATGTTTTTATTTATATAAAAATTTGACAATTTTCAGGACACATTAAAATATCTGAAATCCTTCAACATTATTAAATTCCAACGCTTGTAATTTGAACTTGAATGTAACTAGTGCACCATGACACAAAAAGGCCACCCACATAATGTTGTATAACCTTTTTGTGTGCAGGATTGTTGATTTGAACTTCAGAATATTGAAATTATTTCAATTTCAGAGTTACTAGCTCAACTAGATTCACCTGTATGAGAGTTATAAGATGTGAGGTCTATTCTCCTGCAGGCACACTAGATTCTACACAAAAATGCCTCCAACCTTTTGCAACATGATTTTGCAAACAAGTTACTGTTTTTGTTTTTATGTAGGTGACGAATACCTCTTTGGTATATCCCGTGTTTGGGCAAATTTACGATAATTGATATTTTGAAATTCTGCTACTGTCATAAAGCCTGGAAGGCAGACCCAAGAACCCCTCCTTGAAAGAGCCATGTGTTCTTTTATTTGAACTCATACACAGTCATAGAAGTAAAGACCATGGCTTTTTGTAACAGTTGTGGACCACCCAGTCACACATCCTGAAGTACTCTACTCAAACAAATTAAGTGTTGCCTGGATCGGGGATCGAATCCGGGACCTATTGCTTAATTGATACACGCGTTATGCCTGAGCTATGCGAGTGGACTGTTTTAAAGATTTTATTAATGACAACTATAGCATCTTCTGTTTAATTGAATGGACATCCTTACCAAAAAGCATTAGTATTAAAATAATATGTTACAAAAGGTGGATGGCATGTAGACAAAAAAGTAATTCAACATTATGTTGTATCGCCCTGTATACAGTGTAGACATGATTTTACTTCAAGAATTTGGATTTTCCATACCTTCACCACAACGGTCGCCGTTTGTCCCGGATGGGCATAAGCATTTATAATTCCCGCCAAAAGTGTTGATGCACACAGCGTCCTCCCCATGGCAGGGTGCTGAGGAACATGCGTTTTCTACAAACAGAATTAATATAAGTGCAACTTACGCTAAGCAAGCCGAACTTTACAAATCCTCACAATTCGATGGAGTAGCTACAAACGCCGTGTAAACAGAGGAAAGCTTAAATTTCAGAAATAATCATTCCCTGGCGGTGGTATCAAAATATTCTTAGGCTTAATCATATCATATAATGTGTTGTTCTCCACTATTTGGATGCAGGGGATTTCAGGAGATCTGTTTAGAGGAGCCAGAAATAATATCATTTTAAAACAAAATTTTATGATAGTCGTAAGCTCTAAGTAGTACTGCAATATGTTCACAACATTATGCTATACGTCTGATTTGTGATTTAAAATAGGAAGAAACACAAGCAAATGTAGATATCATACAGGTGATATTCCAGACACATTTTGTACAATTAAATAATGGTTTGTTATGTTTTACACGACTTACCATTCCCAGGCCAGGTACAATTACCAGCATCAGGAACATCTGAAGATAAGTTGTATTTATTATAGAAACATTCAAAGATTTGTTTAAAAGGTTTGTTTAAAAAAATTGTTGAACATTCAAAACTGCTTAAAATACTTGGAGACTCTGAAACAGTCTTTCAGAAATTAAAAGAATAAAATTCATCAAAACTAAAATACAAATCTGCTCCCAAAGCTGGGCAAAAAATTAAACATTATTTTTAATTCAAACTGGCAGCCCAATAGCAAGTAGGTTTCTTTATTTTATTTCAAAAGTATTTTGAAACCCAAAGATGTGTGAAAATAAGAAAAAACAGTCGATGAAATAAGTCAATGGAGTGTGTATACATTACCATTGGAACAATAGTTAGGTTCACTACTGCATAAAGTACACACCTTCACTGCAGTTTTTGCCTTGTTTGTTGGGAGGACAAATGCACTGGTAACCATCATTCCAGGGAATAGAAATACCCGCATTGCAGGGAGACTCTGCAAAACAATCCAATTAATTCTTTAATTTACAGTACCGATACCACCTTGGTGGACACCAGGGTGAATACAAAAAAGGTTCTGGTAACATCTAATCTACATCATTTTGCACATTTATAATCCATCTAACTAAAACGTAAGATTCTCCAGAGTTCGCCATCATTTCAAGCATTGAATATCTTGTACAATAGACCTACATGCCACACACTGTCAAAAGCTTTACGCCTCTTTTATTAAAAAGAAGTGTGAAGGCACGATGTATATCAGTATTTCCAGCTTGTAAACACGACATTTCTTCTGATGATTTAACATTCATACTTCTATTAACCACGAGCTTCTCTAATATTTTCAAATATGTTGAAACAAGTGTTGGAAGCGCAATAATACTGTCGCCTGCATACTGAATATGTTCTGTACTTATTCCATCCCAACCCGTAGCTTTATTCCTCGACAGAGACACAGTGTTTATCAGCTTCTTCAGCTTTGCACAATTCTCGCCTCAGGCATCATTTAGCTGCCTTGCATTGTATCGTACCCAATCACCATTGTTAGGATATCTATAAATCTTCCTTTCAGATTCCATGTTCGAAAAGCAGATTTTTCCATTTGCTAGATCAGTTAAATCTTAAGCTAAAATACCCTGTGTGCAGAGTCTAGTTAAACGAAGACGAAGCTCTCTTTTAAGAAGTGAAGTCAAACGAATGCAAAGGGTAAGCTAAAACAAGAGTATTGTATCGCACTTTTTGACACCATATATTATCAAATATCGAATTTTGATCATTTGCTCGCCATTATCTGTCATCTGTTAAAATTGCAGTCCAGGGCATATTATTTAAACCCTTGTAAGTGTACTCCATATTGCATTTGGAGCACACGCGTCACGAAGACGATCAAAGAACTCGACAATCAACCCGAAAAGGTTTTGATAGTCGATCTCACTAGAGGCAGCGGATTTTAACGCTCAAACACACCAGAAGTCAGAGGAAGCACAACGGACATTCTCTACAGACACATATTGCTTTCTGTGATAGACTATGACCTATGTAATCAAAATACTCTTGGTTATGAAAACCAGTTTATATTACAATACAAAGCTTTTGATAATATGAGAAAACATTTTTTGCCTTGACTGATTTTCTAAAAATGTTACGCATGTACAATTCGAACATGACTCTATTCACGCCTTCTTATATAAACTGTGAACAAAGTCAATATTTCAATTGGGTTATATTCGCAAGCAATGCCCCTGATAATACGAGTAATGTGTGACACCATAACGGCGGTCCGTAGTATTGGCGGACCATAATGAATATTCGAAACATGTTGGTGAGTTTTCATATTCGAATCGTAATATAGACCTCAGAACAGGGGTAATATCGTCGAATATACCCCCTAGTGCTAGGCACAAAAGTTTTCGAAACGAAGTTTACAGAAAACGTTTGTACCTAGCCGTGCGGGATGTATTCGACAACATTACCCCTGCTTTTCGGTTGCAGTTTGAGGGCAAACACATTTAGATATGAATAGTACCCGGCGTGCTTCCCGTAATGCCTTGGTCACATTTGCTCCGATTTTTACTATACGGCGTCAGTCCGATTGAGTATTTTGTTCAAAATTGAATACAATATTGAACAAAACACTCAATCGGCCGGGCGCCGGCCGATGGATCGGAGCATATGTGACCCAGGCATTAGCTACCACCTCTGGCTTCAAACCCGGTCGTTGGCCTAAATAACAGGTTAATCTGCCTATTTAACAGCATGTAACAATGACCTATGTTCCATTTGCCAATTTGACCTAGCGGCTCTATTATAATCGATCCTAGCCACTATTTGCATTCGCGAATGCAAGCTAAATGCCTCTGTGGTTTGGTACAAGTGTTAAAACTTTAGAAAAACGTGTTTAATTCTGATAATGATGTATTGTATTAATTAAATTATGTACAATTTTAGTAAGGCTGGGAAGCAGGTGTGAATACTGTAAATTGTTATGCGTAATACCTAATTCGAACATGACTGTATTCGCGCCTTCTATAAACTGTAAACAAAGTCAATGCTTCAGCTGGGTTATATTCGAGATCAATAACCCAGTTAATACGTGTAATGTGTGACGTCATAACGGATGGTCGTAGTAATGGCGGAGCATGATGAATATTCGAAACAATTTGGTGAGTTTTCATGTTCGAATCGTAATATAGACCTCAGAGCGGGGCTAATATCGTCGAATACACCCCTTGGGGCTACGCACAAACGCTTTCGAACCCCTCACTCCCTTCGGTCGTTCGGGGTACAGAAAACGTTTGTGCCTACCCTGTGGGGTGTATTCGACGATATAACCCCTGCTTTTCGGTCTATATTTCTTAAATAATAGGCGCTGAATAAGCTTACGCTATGAGTATGAGTAGATCTGCAATGTGTACAATTTTAGTATTTCAGAAATAATATCTCGAGACTTTCATTCTTATTACCTATCTTATTAGCAGTGGTCAATCCTAGCATCGCCAATAACATCATTATAGGATGTAAGGGGATCATCATACGATCGCTCGTTCAGCTATCAAAAACCTGAAAAAGCAACACTTGTTAGGTAATAATTCCCATTGGATGTAAAGAAAATTTAGAATGCCCAAAAATCTGGAGTCAAGATTGTGACGAAGTTGTTACGAAATCGACCTTGAAAATATTTATGAAAAAAAACTTTGTAATGATCCCCATTGAATGTTATGTAATTATAGAATGCCCCAATTTAAAATGATGTTGTAATGAAATCGACTAAGAAAAAAAGTTGTAAAAATTGTGAAAAACCATTGTGAAGAAACCTACTGTAGCTAATAGTCCATGAGCTGGTCCAAAAAAGTAAGTCTCGTTATCTGGTACTCCGCCACACAAAATGAACATACCATTTAAAAGTACTGACTTCCCTTAAAAAGAAAATATTTCCATAAAATGGTTTATCAAAATGCCCCGCTTTATTTGACTGACCTCTTAACCCCTCTCTCCCAAAAGCAGACCAGACATAGCTTAAGAAACCAAAATTCTTTCAATATACCCTTCTGTAGACTTAACATTAATTACAGGTCGTTTCTTCCAAATGCCATTAGGATATGGAACTGTTATGCGGTAAACACGATAAAAAATATGTCATATTCCGCAACGAATATGGCATATTCACTTGCGCTGTATGACTTACTCTTACTAAACTTACTCAATCAATCCAGGATTCATATATAAGTACTCGACACACTAACAATATTGGTAATCCAGCGTAGTTTTACATTTAGAGTCGATTCTCGCAACCAATCAAATCAAGACTTTCTGTATCATGTTTTCACCTGCGGTATATGGCATATTCCGCAAGTGAGTATGACATATTCCTCAGGTGGGTATCGGGTATTCACTGAAATCACTGTATTTCATATTCACTGCGGAATATCGCATACTCACCTGCGGAATATGTCATATACCGCAAGTGAGTATGGCATATTCACCCGTATCACAAATACCGCGCAACCATGAATGTATGCCATATTCCGCGTAACAGGAACAACCTTGGACAACATTTTAGGAACATTGGTTATCTCCCTCTATTTAAATATAAACTTAAACATTCTATTTGCAAAATCAAAAATAAACTTTACTCATTAAAAGCCAGCAAATCTGCAATTAATCATGGGAGAATCCGAATGGGTCTCAGTGCTTTAAACCATCAACGTTTCTCTTACAACCTCATAGACTTCAAACATTGTGCTTGTGATTTCTCACAAGAGACACCACGTCATTATTTTCTTGACTGTCCCCTCTATGTTGCCCAAAGAACAACTCTTTTCAGGGAATTAGGGAACATAGTCGTAACCAATAGACATAATCTTCTCAATCATATAATTCATGGAAACAAAAATTCTTCATTCATTGACAACTGCGCTCTATTTAACCATGTCAAGACATTCATCAGAGACACTCAGAGATTAACCATATAAAACTGTCTAACCTATTGCATGACATCTCAAAATTTTATATGTTACTCAAAATGCAATCATCATCATCATCATCAGACAGGTTGTCTCAGTAGGCCTATTATTTATTTTCTGCATCCAAGCCAAATTCATCGGATCATTGAATAAGTCAAAACGATTGTTTGGAGGACATACAGGTTAAAAATAGTGTAAACTGTAAACCCTAGGCCAAATAAAATGATTTAAAAAAATAATATTTCTTTTTAATTGCAACAGGGGCTTTTGCCTCTAAAATGGACTTAGACAACGTAAAGAAACTGTAAAGAAACAAGGTGCAATATTTTGTATTTTACTTAGCTCTTTGATGTATATGGTGTAAATATTGTGAATAACTAGTTCAAAATTTCAAGAAATTAGATGAAAATTAAAAAAGTTTGCAATTGTTAAACAACCAATTCCTTATCTAGAGCTTTTAAAAAATCGATAAGAAGCCCTTGCACTCAGGGTCTTGTAATGAGTCACTGATATGAATCTTTCATGAGTAATGTATGTCTACTCAAATACTGGTTATAAGTCCATGGTATATTGGGAAGTGCCAGTGACACGATTGTATAAGCAAAGTCGACTTTACTTTAAAAATTAAATTAACTGACTGAGAAAAAATTATTGAATCACAAATTCATTAGGCACAGAGGCATTCCGTTTGTTACATATTGCTGTTTTGTGAATAACAATTTTTGTTGGATATTAAAGCAGAAATGCTCATTTCTAATGCATTGTCATAGACTTTAATATGTATACTTACAGATTTCAAAGCATTTACTGATTCTGGCCGAGTTACGTTTCTGATTCAATATCCCGTTTTGGTGATAAACATAGGCCCAAGCGACTGCACCGAGACACAGTGTTGAATAAACTCCTGACCAACTTATACCTACCATTGAAGGAAGATCGCCAAAAGCACAAAGTCATCGACAGGTTGTCTCAGTAGGCCTACGATTTATTTTCTGCATCCAAGCCAAATTCATCGGATGGTTGAATAAGTCAAAACGACTGTTGGGAGGACATACAGGTTAAAACTACATCATTCTATTGATCAGTTAAAAAGTACATTTTCCAGTCTTACACAATCTAGTCATCTGCACCGTGTTTATCTATGATATTTCACTAGTCGAGTGTTTTTAATGAAGATGAAATAGAAATAATTTAATTTACTTATATCAATGCAAAGACCTTTAATGTCGAACACAGGGTAATTAAAGACACATCCGATTTTTTCTTGTTTATATTTTTGATAAAAAATCGCGAATCTTATATTCCTCCATAGAATTTCGAGGGAACTCATGTAATGCATGGGATTTTGCCCAATCGAGCCTCATGAGTTCCCAAGTTGGACTTACTGGGATTCGATGGGGCAGAATCCCATCTTGCCCCATCGAGAATGAACATGTTCAGTCTTTTCATTGGGCATCGTGAGATTTTCGATCATATGACGTGTTGTGTGAAGTCCAACATACACCAATGGGGCACGGTGGGATTTGAAAGGACTCCATTGGACTCAATGGGGCACGATGGTAATCGATGAGGCAAAGTCATCAATGTCCCATCGGACTCCTTGTGATCCGATGGGGTAAGTTGGGTTTCGAACGGGCAAGATGGGACTCGATGGGGCAAGTTGTGTATACTGGGCTTAACCCTAATGTCTGCAGGGGGGGTCGATTTTTCAAGATGCCCAATGGAAAGACTGAACATGTTCATTCTCGATGGGGCAAGATGGGATTACGTGGGATTCTGCCCCATCGAATCATCCATCAAGTCCCACGTAGGAACTCATGAGGCTCGATGGGGCAAAATCCCATGAAGTCCTTTGAGACCCGATGGGTCAAGTTGTGTATACTGGGCTTAACCCTAATGTCTGCAGGGGGGTCGATTTTTCAACAGAACTTTTTTGCAATTTTTTGGCGTCTTCGTTATTTTTGTAGCTTGGGTCACAGATATACGATACTTTTTGGCGTAAAAACCTAGGTAATTGGGGGTTGTGGGGCAAAGTGTGGGGCAAAGTTATGATAGTTGGACTTGATGCAAATGAAATTGAAATTCATAAAATACTGATTGTCACCTTCTTTCTAATACTCTAGAAAATACTACAAGATGATTATTGCTCTGTTTGATAGATAATGATTTATCATATTGAATTTTCTTTCCAATATGCTTTATTTCATGAAAAAATGAAAATCGGGCCACTATTGACTATGTTTACGATGTCTAAATGAACATCTTTAATTTTTTGCATATTCCTGATTAACCCATGCAAGGATATATAGAGATTATTTAATGGGAGGTTTTTGATACAGGATATATCTGAGGGGAAGAAAATGTATTTACCCGAGGGACCGTTACTTTATGCAACAAAAAATTGATACGTTTCTTTAGGTCCAACAAAGTTATAAGTCTTCAAAGTCAAAATTATTTTTCGAAAACCTCTCCCATTGAAATAACATAGGAGATGAAAAATGATTTTCAAAAATGACTCTGAAGTCCTGTAACGTAAGTATTCATAAAGTAAACTAAACACAGCTTGCACACAAAAAAGTAAGACATAGAGCGTGGACTTCAAATGACTGGACTGCAATCACAGTATCATTGTTAGGCATATGAGAAAATTTAATTTTCTATATAAAAATACTATTTTATGAATCATTTACTGAATAGATTTTATACAATGTTTAATGCATTACTATTCTTTATTTTGATGTATCAAATAGTTCTTGATAGGAAAACTTAATTGCTTTAAGATAAGTGTTCCCCGTGTTATTTCTCCATTGAAAAATCTCGTGTGATCCATTGGTTTCAGTTCATTTTGGTCATTCAAATTCAGTATCTTTAAAGTCCCTGGAGCAATCAACTTTTCCTTTTAGGAAATCGAACATGTCTCAAAGCACATTCTAATTATGCATTCAACAATATAATAAAAGGTTGCATTTTTGGAGAAAATTAGGTCAACATTTTTGAAAAAGTATGTTGATTGGTCCATTTCCCCTTCAATATCACTTAGGTCTGATTAATTAACTTATCATTATATATACTTTTCTTGAAGATAGGCCTAGTGAATGGATCTAAAAGATACACGTTCATGATCAGAAAGTATTCACAATTCAAGTTAGAATCGTTTGAAATTGTTTGCGATAACCTACGTGCTCCTTTATCTTCAATATTGCTATTGAAGAAAAAAAATTGGCGGTATTAGAAATAATGTCGAGTTTCATTTCTATAAATTTCATAAGTATTTTCACCGCAGGTAGTGTAAATAAAAATTCAAACAAAAGGGGAATTTTGGGGGAATTCCTAACGACAGCCAAATACTTTTTCTTTCGTCAATAGAGTTCTTTTAGATATGATTAGAAAAGGAAAGCGTATTTATTGCATTTAATTAATCAAAAGGAATCTAATTGATGATATTCTTCGAAAAACTAATTTTTATTGTTTTCTAAGCCCTTGATAGATATACACATCCTTTAAATGGCTGAAAAAAGCTACCATATGGTCCAAAGGTGAATTTTGCGAGAGAAATATGGCGGCCATTTTTAAAATTTTTAAAATCAAATTAATATATTATTCCACCAAAAATAGTTTTTTTTCCAAAATTGAGGGTCACCCTTTATAAATGCATAAGGTAACCCATGTTAATGAGTTGACTTTTAGTAACCTTGTCAAATTGAGTCATTCTATAGATTGACCGTTGTGTCTTATTTGTTAGTAGTGCTGTAATGATCAGAACCTCTGCTGTTATTCTAGCTCACTGTAACATCTGAAAATAGAATGTAATTATGCATTGATATAGTACTATCTACCAACCAAAACCCGAGAATCTAAAAAATATGTACTGTTGAAGAACCATAATTTTTATTACTTGGTGGCTTTAGCATTGATACAGCTCTTGTGATTCCTGTGAGCAAATCGCTTGAAGTTTTTGAAGTTGTGGAGAATTTTAGCAAGGGGCTATTTTAATTCAATAATTATTTCTAAAAAGTCCCATTAAATAGTATACACGATTATTATTTTAGATCAAATATAGAGTTCTTGAGTAGCGTATCGTTCGTATTTAGGAAACCTATGATATAGTTTAGAGTAGGAATCGGAGTAAGGATTCTAAAGGTCACCGCCGTCAGTGGTGAGGTTTTTGCCGAAATATTCAGCACATTCTTTCTTCATGGAGACCTTCAAACGCGTATCACTCGATAACTATTGTGCCGATTTGAATTAGGTTTCAGTTCTGAAATATTCAGGAAGTCTGCCATCGTTTATGTTAAACCTTGAGTTTCGAGTTTTAAGGAGGCCCTAAATCAAGCTCCAAGTGAGCACCTCTCCTCTCTCTATTCAAGTGTGCATAAAGAGGAGGGGTGCCCACTTGGAGCATGTTTGCAATGAACAATTTTGACTCAATAAGCAGATTAACATCAAACGTTTAAAACAAAATTAACGTTGAATGATCTAAATAATTCTGAGAATATGCATCATTGACCGAGTGAATAAACTGCCTTTTCGATTCCCTGTATTTTCAGAATTGTGTTATCGCAACTAAAACATATATTTTCCCCACAAACCCTAATTAAATACCGCGGTCAGTATTATAAAAAGTTGAGTTATTCAGTTTCAAACGGTACACGCCCTTTATATTTATATTAAACTACTATTTAATCTCTGACGAAATTGAAACTCGATCAACTCGAGCTCTTCTGAGAAAACCAGGATTTAGGCAGGGGTGGATTGATTTAATAAGGGGGCAATTGACTTTAAACCTGCATATTATATGGAGATTTAAAGTCAATCGTAAGACTAGGGGTTCTTACACAGGACATTAAAATGCCTTTAAGATGAAAGGTATAACTTTAGGATATAAATATGATCTTAGAGTTGCTTACCATCCTGACAGCTCACAACTACCCCAGGCTCGACCACAAAACCACCATCTTTAATCACCATCCAAATAGTAGTACCATCGGTTGGATCAACAGCAGGATTATATGTGAAGGCGTAAGCATTAAAATTTAAATTAGTAGGGTCTGGTCCAATTACCCACATTCCTGTTGATGACAAATAGTAAAGGTAGAACGGGAAAAAAGAGTGTTTGTAAATCGGTCTATTCCCAGCCTCTTGGTCATTATTCTTCTCATAAAAACCAAAATTCGCCATGACAGGTAGCAGGAGCTTACGACAAGATCCACCTTAAAATAATTAAGATAAATTATGTCGGACTGATGGATGTCCTGGTGTTGAAGTAATCCGTATTATATGAAATTTCCTCAGAGTCCTAGTTAATAGTTTAGGAACCAATCTATTAAAATACTAGTATGATATAAAATACCCAATAAGATTTTCTTCAAATGATTGTTTATTTGTGTATTCGTTTGTCTGCCTGCAATGCAATTGGCGCTTGGCACCAATGTTATAATTGTAAAGATTTCCATATGTTATAATGAAAGAAAAACAAAAAATCGTTTGTCTAACCAGTGCTCCCTTGACTGTCTGAATTGTGGTGTTACCTGTAGTTGTATTGCTAGAAATAGTGATTCCATCCATCGCTGTCCAACCAGTAGAGGTAACCCATCTAAATTGTGGCTTTGTTATATCCTGAGGTAGAAGGGATGTTGAAGGTATCCACATGTTAATTTGGTCATTACCAATAGCCGCGCCAAACCCCCAACGTCCACTTAATAGGTAGTACATATAATATTTTCCTGATTCGTGAATATATACTGGTCTAGAATTGTAATATTCTCCGTGTATACTGTAAAATCCTAGGAGTTGGGTCATGTTTTGTGAAATGGACGATGTGATCACACCCCCGATGTATAACGTTGCACTAGGGACCATGTCATCTGAATATAGTAATATAAGTTATTGAATGATTTGAAGTGTAATAAGGATATATTCTGCTCGAGAAATTCCTATTGGAACGAGACGAAGTCAAGTGCCAATACAGAATATCGAGAGCAGAATATATCCTGTATTGCACTTCAAATTAAATCATTCTATAACGTTTTTATCGTGTGATCTTCTGTATTGCTACTGAGAATGTACCAATATTTTCTGTATTGCGACGGAGATGATCAATGGGGACAATCTCAGAAGCAATACAGATTGGTACAGCACAAGAACTAAAGCAATTAAAAGGCTTCATTCTACAGATCATACGATTAACACGAATATGCAGTTATAGTTAGTAATCCATGCCTCGCTAACGTGTTAAAAACCAAACGTATCGGTCTCAGCATAGAGTGAGGCAAAAATGTATCCCCAAAAGTGTAAATAACAACATGGATTTAAACCTTGTACAATGTTCTTTCTTTCTATTAAGTCTCATTGGTCTATCTCAAATGACAACTCTCTTATTGTTATTTTACAAAACATCCTCAAAATGCCGGTCTCATCTCTGGAGGAATGGTTCTAATCATCCTTCTTATCTTATCTTATTGTTTCAACTCCCTGATGCTTCTCCAAAGGTGTAGCCATGAATAATAAGGGGTTTAAATATTACATGGCCTTTGGGATTCGCTTTCATAACGAATGCGGGGGGGGGGGGGTTAAGCCCAAGTGGATGGGGGTGGGTCGCAAGACAGAAATAGTTTCAACAAACCAATCAATTTACAGAATATAGTATATGCACACTCATCAAATAACTAGGTTGCGTAGATGTGTGATTCATAGTTCACACAAAAACAATCATCTCTGAGACTGGGGTTAGTTTCCAGCCTTTGGTTTGTTGATCTTCCAGAAAAGGGGGTTGCTACTGGCTGGATGTTTGTTTTATAAATAAGGGAGTTCAAGTAGTCTACAAATTCCCTCTCACTATGCCCATACATCTAAAGTTGTAAATATGAACAATATCTTTGAAATATGGCTCCAAAGATAAACGTTTGGGGATTCATCTATATCGGGTGATTTTTCAACATTTTATGCATGTCTTTTAAAATGGCCATAACATCGTGACCATTAAAAACAGACCATTGAAACTTACCCCCCTATCACACCAAACTAGTACTTACCCGGTCTTGACAACTACGAAAACGGGTTTAAACTGATTAAGAACGTATTTAAGACTGCTTATGAACGAGTTAGCAAAAAATGTAGCTATCACACCAAACAAGTTGCCACTGCGTTCTTCAAAACTGGTTTTAAATTGTGTGCGAACGAAATGGACGTGGCTGCAACTTTCTAAGGTCTATTTACGAACTTCATGAACGTTCTCAGACGGGAAGGTGATTTTGGAATTTTGAATCGATTCAAAATTCGAGGACGACCATACCGTTCAGGAATCAGGTCATGATGACCTGCTAGACTAAGGAACGCGTTATACGACGTTGCACACCGAACTGGTGCGACCTGAACGAACTGCGAATGAGATGGACGTATTGAAGACTGTTTATGAACGAAGTAGCTAATTATTTAGGCATAAGAACTAGTTTGGTGTGATAGGGGGGTTACATTTTTTGGCTCTCCCTATATAAATTCTCAGTTGTTGTACCTTGTCCGATTGTTGTTCCTTGGCCAGTTGTTGTATCTGGTCCAGTTGTTGTATCTGGTCCAGTTGTTGTACCTGGTCCAGTTGTTGTAACTGGCCCAGTTGTTGTATCTGGTCCAGTTGTTATGCCTTGTCCAGTTGTTGTACCTGGTCCAGTTGTTGTATCTGGTCCAGTTGTTGTACCTAGTCCAGATGTTGTACTTTGTCCAGTTGTTATATCTGGTCCAGTTGTTGTACCTGGTCCAGTTGTTGTACTAGTACTTGGTCCAGTTGTTGAACCTTGTCCAATTGTTGTGCCTGGTCCAGTTGTTGCAAGTAGCCCAGTTGTTGTATCTGGTCCAGTTGTTGTACCTGGTCCAGTTGTTGTACTAGTACTTGGTCCAGTTGTTGTACTTTGTCCAGTTGTTGTTAGAAGCTCAGTTGTTGTATCTGGTCCAATTGTTGTACCTGGTCCAGTTGTTGTACTTTGTCCAGTTGTTATATCTGGTCCAGTTATTGTGCCTGGTCTAGTTGTTGCAAGTAGCCCAGTTGTTGTTCCTGGTCCAGTTGTTGTACTAGTACTTGGTCCAGTTGTTGTACTTTGTCCAGTTGTTGTAAGTAGCCCAGTTGTTGTACCTGGTCCAGTTGTTGTACTTTGTCCAGTTGCTATATCTGGTCCAGTTGTTGTACCTGGTCCAGTTGTTGTACTAGTACTTGGTCCAGTTGTTGTGCCTTGTCCAATTGTTGTACCTGGTCCAGTTGTTGTATCTGGTCCAGTTGTTGTATCTAGTTCAGTTTTTGTACCTGGTCCAGTTGTTATAACTGGCGCAGTTGTTGTACTTGGTCCAGTTATTGTGACTAGCCCAGTTGTTGTATCTGGTCCCGTTGTTGTACCTAGTCCTGTTGTTGTAACTGGCCCAGTTGTTGTATCTGGTCCAGTTGTTGTATCTGGTCCAGTTGTTGTATCTGGTCCAGTTGTTGTACCTGGTCCAGTTGTTGTACTTTGTCCAGTTGTTATATCTGGTCCAGTTGTTGTACCTGGTCCAGTTGTTGTACTAGTACTTGGTCCAGTTGTTGTGCCTTGTCCAATTGTTGTATCTGGTCCAGTTGTTGTACCTGGTCCAGTTGTTATAACTGGTCCAGTTGTTGTATCTGGTCCAGTTGTTGTTCCTCGTCCAGTTGTTGTACCTGGTCCAGTTGTTGTACCTTGTACAGTTGTTATGTCTGGCACAGCTTCTTGGTAGTGCACACAAAATTCGCCCCTGCAACCTTTGGCTACCCACATGAACCCTGTTCTAAAATCGAAGCTCCAGTTGTTGTCCATCGTGCATTTTGTCCTGAAATACATACAGGTTTTAGATTCAGCTTACACAAACCAAACCTCGCCTCTGCCATCTTTAGCTACCTTAAACTGGTGCATTGTCCCTGCTCTATTATTCAAGCTCTATTTATTGTTCATTATACAATACAGGTTATCCAAACAGTAAAGTAAAAATGCTCTTATTTCCAGAGATTCACATGTTGTGTGATGAAATTGCTATTGAGATATCGTCTCAAACTGATAAGAGTATGGTTGTTATTATAATGAGAGTCTGGGATATGTGCACAAAATCAAGTTTTAAAACTCTCGTGCATCATCTACGGAACGATATCAGATTCTACACGAAGTGAGGGAATATTGAACGGGGTAGAGGTGTGGTATAATCATGAAAAAGAAAATAAGGTTATTAATTTTTTATGATTTTCTGTTATTTCCACTTTTGCAATTGAATATATAGAAATAAAGAAACAAGATGACCTGACCCTACCTTGATATCTGGGTCTTGAGTGTTACGTCTTGCACAGACATGGATGTCAAGAATGGCTTGTCGTCGAACACAGGACATGTGACATTCCTCCGTCTTTTACTTGCACACGGGAAGCAGTACGTTCCTAGTGGTGAAATAAATAAATCAATGGGAAAGTTTGGAGTCTCCTCTTGTATAAACAAAAACATTTTAGTGTTTTGCATCGATTTATTCAAAAATGTATTTGATCATCAGGCTTTTTAGATAGACGGTATCTTTACAATTACTTTTCACTTCTCCATATTTAATTCTGAACGTAAAATTAACATAAAATAAATGAACAATTTTTAAAACACAGTAAAGATTATTCAAAATCTTAAAAAATGATGAAAGTGAGTCACATATTTGAGTTTCACTGCTTGTAATTTGAATGTTCTCTTGGAAGTAGAATAAGTCCCCAACCTACTCCAAGAAAAATGAAGTGTCGTTGTCCGGTACTGAGTTCCCTTATTAAAGGCCAACTTTGCGTATTTTCAACAATTTGTGGCAAAATAAAGTCTTACAGGTGTTATGTATGTATGTATATCTTTATTGCCCTTTATGAAAAGGAGATACATGTATACAGTGTACAATGAAAATAATGCTGATATAACATTAATGTTAAATGAACATAGAATAAAAATATATACAATATATAAAACACACTTTATACGACTACGTTAGATGAGTGCTAACCATCTTCCCCAAGGTCGATGTAAGCATCTCATCTAACGAACCACAGACGATATAAGATGCTACCGCTATCTCATCGTCCAATTACAACCCTCAATGAGATCATTTGTGCAGAGAGCATAATTGAAAAAGTAAAAAAGGTTAGGTTAAGAAAGGTTAAGTATGTACATACAATTTTATACATTATATAATACACTTATCTCATTAGTTGAGTGCAAACCATCTTCCCCAAGGTCGATGTAAGCATCTCATCCACTGAACCACAGACGATATAATTATAAGATGCTACCGCTATCTCATCGTCCAATTACAACCCTTAATGAGATCATTTTGTGCAGAGATCATAATTGAAAAAGTAAAAAAGGTTAAGTATGTACAAACATTTTATACATTATATAATACACTTATCTCATTAGTTGAGTGCAAACCATCTTCCCCAAGGTCGATGTAAGCATCTCATCCAATGAACCACAGACGATATAAGATGCTACCGCTATCTCATCGTCCAATTACAACCATTTGAGAGATCATTTGTTCAGAGATCACAATTGACAGTAGATATAGATTAAGTATGTACATATGGTTTATACCTTATGTATATAAAATATATAGATAGATATAAAATACTTGACGCATTAATCAACAGATTTTAACCCATGGTTTGCATTAACACGCATCCGAAATTATATAAGTCAGTTATGAGTTGCATTGCAAGCACGAAGCACGAAGGTGGTATTGCTCTTGCACGATAAGTGAAACCCCTCTCAAAAAATCTAAAGACCGGGGATCATTTCTAAAGTTAATCCCTAAAATGTTGTTAATATTCATCTCTATACCAAACTTTTGGCAGTGCTCATTCAGTTTACGTCTAAACGGGGTATAACTATAAAGAGTGAGATTACGGAAAAGATGAGAAGTTATCCGGAGTGAGATTCTGGAAAAGAGGAGGAGTTATCCGGAGTGAAATTCCAGAGGTGAGGAGAAGTTATCCTGATTGTGAGCCTCGAGAAGAGGAGAATTGCTCGGAGTGAAAGTCTAAAGAGGACAAGTTCCTGGAGTGAGAGATTCCGGAGAGAGAGTCAAAAGTCAATAGTGCATAGCCCCATGTTAAGTCAATGCATACTTAAAGTAACTTGCTTTAAAATCCTCATTTTCTATGTGTAATCTACTGTTACCAGGAAAATGTAACATAACCCAGTGTAGAGCATATATAGAGGAACATTATGCAGTAGTTTATTAGTGTGGCAGACACCCGGACAACAAACTCCTTATCTAGAGCTCTTACCCCCCTATCACACCAAACTAGTTCTTACCCGTTCTTGCCAGTCCTACGAAAACGTCGTAAAACGGGCTCAATCTGGCTGTAGTCGGGAAATATGTCTGAAATAATTAGCTTCTTCGTTCTTAAACAGTCTTCAATACGTCCATCTCGTTCGCAGTTCGTTCAGGTCGCACCACGTCGGTGTGCAACGTAGTAGAACGCGTCCCTTGGTCTAGAAGGTCAACATGACCTGATTACAGAACGGCATGGTCGCCATCGAATTTTGAATCGATTCAAAATTCTAAAATCACATTCCCGTCTGAGAACGTTCATAAAGTTCGTAAATAGTCCTTAGAAAGTTGCAGCTACGTTCATTCCGTTCGCACACAGTTTAAAACCAGTTTTGGAGAACGCAGTGGCAACTTGTTTGGTGTGATAGCTATATTTCTGCTAACTCGTTCATAAGCAGTGTTAAATACGTTCTTAATCAGTTTAAACCCGTTTGCAATTAGTTCTACCTCGTTCTAAACACGTTCAACTCGTTGTTAAAACGTCCCTAGTAGGATTGAAGTACGACGGTTTCGTTCGTAGTACGTCCAGCTCGTCGTTAGTACGTTTTCACTCGTTCTAATTGTAGAACGTGACGACCACGAGAACATTTTGAGCATTGTCTGAGTTCTAGAGGACCTACCCGTTCGAGTACGTTCGATGAAGTTTGTAAATAGATCCCAAACGGTTCTTAGTAGGTCCAGTCCGTTCGTACACAGTTGAAGCCCGTTTTCGAGAACGTAGTGAGAACTAGTTTGGTGTGATAGTAGGGTTAGGAAATCAGATCAGGGATTATATAAACTGCCCCCATAAATGTGGGGTTATTTTGAGGATTTTTGATATTTAAATGTCCTAAATATCAAAAAACCTCAAAACCCCACATTTATGAACTGACTCCACAACTATGTCTGTATGTCTCGCCTCGTTTCCATACCTTCACCACAACGATCGCCGTTTGTCCCGGGTGGGCATAAGCATTTATAATTCCCGCCAAATGTGTTGATACACACAACGTCCTCCCCATGACATGGTGTTGAAGAACATGCGTTGTCTACAAAGCAATAAGAATAAACGTGTATCGTATACTGTACATGCCGCACTTACGCCAATAGCATAGTTTCAATGCAGCCTAGCTGAAAAGAACTGACATAATAGATGTCATATTTGTCTTTTTTTATTTTGGTTGGGCCAGACTGCCATAGCCTTCCATTTTATAAACTTGCAACGGTCACTTAATTTTATGCTTTATGGAAATGTGTTGGTTGATTCTGTCTGAAACTAGAATGGCATACTTTTGGATGACCCTGTCAATGTACATATTGTGATTAATCTTCATTGTTGTTGTCAAATGAATAAACTAAGGTTTTTAAAGAATCTTACCATTGCATGCATAGAAATTTGGCCAATTTTTTCAAAAGTCAAGGGAAATGATTTGAATGACATAACTGTATAGAATAAAGTTATTAGAAAATTTGTCAATGAATTCAAATATGTTATTAAAAAGAAAAGTTAGTCTCTTAAAATCCCATAAAACGAGGATAAGCGAGATTTCAATCAGAGCTATTAAGAATTAACTCATCTATTACAAAACAATGGCAAAAATTTAAGCAAGATTAAACCACACTTAAGTAGCAAAACAACAGAATGAACTATGTTTTATTTTTAAGAATAGCCAGCTATAACAAAGAGAAATGCATTATTTTTCTATTGTTTCCAAAGAATGTACATTTGACAAGCTATCCAAACCAGTACGTGTTGCACAAAAGACGATTGACTGTCACATGCAGTGTACTAAAGCTGAACTAATTACCCCCTATTCACTCATTCAATAGTTGAATAGTAAACACAAGAGAAGTCAAATTTCAATCCGCTACATGCGGTGCACTGAAGCTGAACTAATTACATTCACTATTTCTCAACACTCTTACCTTTAAAGGCAATACAAAATAAATCAAGTTTTTATCAAGTTGGATCATGGGCCACTCAGCTTTCATAAGAGTCTGGTTTAAGTCAGATAAACTATGTAATGATTGTTAGGGGAATTAATAGCCTCGGCCTAGCGGCCTCAGCTATTATATATATTCCTCCTAAAAACCAAGCCTCATAGTTTATCTCTAACAGAAATACAAACAAATATAAATGTCATGCAACATTATGTTGCAATTAAATGAGGTTTATTATGTTTTATATAACTTACCATTCCCAGGCCAGGTACATTTGCCAGCATCAGGAACATCTGAAGATAAGTTGTAATTATATGTAGAATCATTTAAAACGTGTTTAAGGTGCCATGGAAGTTAATAGGAAATGACAAAACAAAAAGAGACAAAACCATGCTGGATTTTGAAATTTTTTTTGAACCAAGATAACAGAATTCTGTTTGGACCTCCAGTCAGTTTAACTAGTTCCACATATCATTTACAAAACCGGGAACACAATGGAAATGGTCAAAATGACCATAATTATGATGAAATAACCTTTTTAGCCCTTTGAAAATGTGACTGAAAAATAACTAGGAGTAGGTGCTCAGTAAAGGTCACTGAACAGAATCTTTTGACTTTTTCATAAAATGTGCCCAATATATTGCTCTAAATGACACAATTTTAAAAGATTTGATATCATTCTTAGAAAAAGAATAAAAAAACTGAATTTAAAATCAATCTATTTTCCTTTTTACTACAGCCATTATTGTTTCCGACAATTTTTTAAAATTTATATTATCACACATTTTTGGGTTTCAAAATATTTTTAATAATGTTAAAGCGCCGTCATTTCTGTTTACTTTTCCAAAAATATCACGGTCTCCTTAGTAATGTTACGCTCTGATAAGCTCTGATTTCCCGACTTGTCACGGTACCTCACGCTTTGATCCCGCTCCGACCAGGCTTTGTTACGCTTGAAATCACGGTTTGATAAGCTTTGATAAGCATTATTACGCTTTGGTGCGATTATGACGCTTTAAATCAGGCTCTGATACGATTGCCAAGCTCTGTTGTGCATTGTTACGCTCTGTTAAGCTCTGTCACGCATTGGAAAATGTAGAGATCGCCGATTTCATGCCGCTTTTGATCCAATGAATATACAAAGATGCAGTAGATCCATAAAACCATTGCATCTTTGACGCGAGAACACGATGGCAGAACAACAAGATCCAGAAATTCCAGATGGACCAGACCATGACCTATCTGAAGAAGATATGATGTTTGTCGCACGGCGTGAAAGATCGTGATAGAGCGTGAGGAAGCTTGTCAAGCCTAACAAAGCGTTTCAATCCTTGATTAATGTGTCTCAATTCGTTGGAAAGCTTGAGAGTCCTTCATGAAAGCGTAACAAAGAGTGTCAGATAATAATGAAAGCGTATGACCTCGTGTCAGATCTTCATGCCAGATCGTAGCAAAGCTTGAGACATCTTAACGAAGCGTGCCAAGTGATACCAGACCGTGAAGAGACTGGGGTCCCCGCTTTGAATCAAGTCCTGTTAAGCTTTCCTACGCTTTGGGTCAAGCTTTGCTGAGCTTTGTTACGGTTTGTTAAGCTTTGATACACTCTCGGTGCTTTAATCAATACGTAACAGAGCGCCCAACTTTTTTAAACGGTTTAAAATTTTTTGGCGCTCTTGCCGAATATCCCGCTTTACTCCGAGCTTTTCTACGACATATTACGACCCCGACGTTTTAATCAAGCTTTGTTACGCTTTGGTGCCGCTTTACAAGCCGCTTTAAAACGCCGTTCTTGTGAACGTAGCTTTATGAAGTGATTGATTGCGTCATCATTTATTGCGCACGTCTATACGTCCATAAGTGTGATATTCTTACGTATAGACGACGATTTATAAGAATATCACACTTATGGACGTATAGGGCTGCGCAATAAATGATGACGTAACCAAACGCTTCATAAGTTATATGTTATAAACATGCTATAAGCGAGTTACGAAATATCTCGCTTTGTTGGCGCTTTAAAGCGGCGTGCAAAGGCGCTTTAAAGCGCCGTTAAATGCCGTTGGCGTGAACTTAGCTTAAAGGCCCCCTCACATATGAACGAATCCACCAAACGCAGCCTGACGCATGTGGTAAATTAGTCATTTCTGGCGAATATTGAGCGAAAATGTTTAAAAATATGTTACATAATAGAAAACATAACGAATAGTAATGTAAGGTAACTATTTGTTGCGAATGTTTTACGAAGTGTGACGAATTACTACTTTTCTTCGCTAAGATGCGTTGCGTCTCTTAAACAACCTTTGACATCCCCTTCAGCGAGTAATAACGCATACATGCGAAATAAAGCGTAATTATGCGCATTCTTCCGAATCTGAACGAAGCCTTACGAAAAGCAGGAGGCGTCAGCGATTCCCGTCAGCGATTAACAACGCATACATGCGAACCACAGCGCAATTGTGCGCATGCTTCCGGATCTAAACGAACCTTTGCGAAAAGTGTAAGGGTCAATTTACTTGACAACACCACACTATCATATATAAATCTGAAATTGTTAACCTATTCACACAACGTAAGTTAATGAAATATAAAAATGGCAAAACTTAAAAGAAAACCAACCGCCGGAGAACAAAACAAACCCGACAAAGAGGACACACAACCATCTTCCGTAGAGCCAAACAAGGCAGAGGAAGAAGTCACAATAGACAATAGTCCTCCTGGGTAAGATTCAAAAATTGTATGTCTTGGTTAGATGTAAATACGGATACACACACACACACACACACACACGGATACACTATGTGTAATTTTTACGCTCATTGATATTTATTTTGTGCATTTTTATGTTCAGTGCCGGTGATATAGAGTGTGGGGCCAAAGGTGAAAACCGAGAGCAACACTCAGACTGTGCTGAATATACAAGGTGAAGATTTCTGTTATGTTAATCGTGACTTGTCACCACAAAATTCATGTATAATATACCAAATAGTAGCACATGTTTCGTTGAGATGTACACTCCCCTCCAAACGTTTTGAAACCCGTACCCCACCATTGGATTGCCTTAACGCCTCTTCAGTTAGAATCCTTATTTGCATAATAAGAAAATACGTTTATATTGAAAAAATTACATCATATCTGTTTTTATGACTTTCATGTAAACAATGGGGGGGGGGGCAAAGTTGTTAAACATTTGTAGGCATGAAGTTAATGTTTGTTTTCGTCTTTCAGTCCAGCAGCAAACATGAATAAAGTGAAGAGAAAGAACACAAAGAGGCAGGATCACAAAATCGAAATGAAAAAAGATCCCAAAATAGAAAAAGAGTTGGTAGAATTCTATAAAATGAATCCATCCCTATGGGATATACGCCTTGAAGATCACCACAACAGGGACAACAAGAAGAAACTTCTTGAAGATATCTCGAAAAGCACCGGTGTTTCGGGTAAAAAACTGACTATTTATTCTATTTATTCAATTTAGAATTGATTGCAATTTCAAACCTGTGTTTTGTGAATATCATGTAGATTCATGCATACTTTGACACATTCATGAATAATAAATGCTGTTTAAGGTTACTCTGTATGTTCGGAATTTTGATGCAATCGTCCATAAATATTTTCTCCCTGAATTTTCCCGGTTTTTAAACATTTTATCAAAAAATATCTCTACAGTCCTTTCTAGGTACATTAGTGCACTCTTTGTGCAAAACTGAAAGATGGAGAAATGTGGGAAAGGTATAATCCATATTTGAAAAATAACATGTGACTCTATGGAGGTTTGCATCAAAATTCAGAGTAAACATACATAGCAAGCTTGATGTCAATTTGCAGTTGAAAATATAGTTGGCTGGTGGAAGGGCATTAGAGACACATACACCCGTTTGTCCCTGAAAAAATCCGGCTCGGAAAGAGACGATCTCCCATACAAACAAAAGTGGGTGCTGCAAAATCTGTCGTTTCTAAGTAATAGACCGGTTCATAGGAGGACACCTATCAAGAGTGTGAGTGATTGATATTTCCACATACTCAATTGTAACTTAATGGTTAATTTGAAGTGAAATAGGCCTTTGTGATGTATAAGTGACACTTAAAAAAATAAAAATTAAAAACGGGCTTATTTTTTCGGAGTCGGAGTTGTTTGAAATAAAAAAAAATCAACAAAATCTGATGTAAAATAAATAGGTAGAAAATCGAGTTTATAAAACTAATAAGATGATAATAATAAATACAATGTATTGATAAGATAAAAACGGGAGTTTCAAGTAGTTTCCATTAGGCCTATGTTCCCGAGGCAATATAAATAAAACAATAAATGTATAACAATAAACAATGTTAATGATTTAGAACCATTAAGTAAATATGTTAAAACGTCCAAGGTTGCATAAAAGAAAATCAGTCAACTTAAAAATAGCACAATTCTAAACCAGTATTTATTTCTTACCTGATAACATTTTGAATTATCCGAATTTTATGTTACTCAGTTAGCAGAGGACAGTCCTGCAGTTGACTTGAATGCAGCAGAGAGAGAAGCTGTGAGACAGGGGAAGGATGATGACTTAAAACGGAAAAGCAAAGGAAAGAAACACAGCGAGGATGAGGATAAAGAGATCACCATGCTTCAAAATACAGCGAAAGAGTCTATTAGTGTCCTTGAGTCGCTAAAGGAATCCGTCAACAAAGTTGCTGTTAAACGCGAAGAACCGTCTGATGTTGCCACCTTGTATGGACGGTATTTGACACAAGAGATGAGACAGATGTCCAAGAGACGTTTTAAGTCATTCCGTAGGGAAGTTGAAGCAAGTTTGGCAAAGTACAACTCTTCAACCGACTCTGAAGATGATGCTATCAAACCTCTTGCTAAGAAAACAAGCAGTTCTACCTCCTCCACCGTGACTCCATCCTCAAGTGGGTAAGTAAAACAATTATGGATTCATAAAATTATTCACTGCCACGACCAATTATGCGCATGCACTTCCTTAAACCTGCTTATTTTTTGGAAAAAACATTGACCGATTGTCAAACACTGTCAAACACTAGGTAAAGGAATAAAGGGGTAAAATTGTAAAGTTATTCATTACTTTGTATTTGTAATTGGTACTTGTTGTTTTGTGACAATTTATTTTATTTTCAGTCCTACCAACAGTTTCTACGCCTCTGGAATGCATCAATCTCATGGTGATGGCTGGAAGCCTCCGCCTAGCAGATGGATCCCAAATCCACCACAAACAGCATCTCCCTGGCACAGTCAAGATGACAGATATATGCAGCAGTATTTCCAGCAGCAGAGGAAGCAGTTAACTCCCCAGATGCATCCAACATTGCAGTCCCCAAATCGACGATCGCTGATCAATGTCTCCTATGGTGAGTTCTACACATTGTGTATTATTCACATCCTTTAAATCAAGAAAGATAACAAGGGAATATGTTATATCCCAGACCCATGGGACGAGACTGCCATTGGATTCAGTGACAGTTTCTATCATATCGCATTGTAGTTTATTATTTTCATGATTTATTACATTATTCATGCAAAATTCATGCAGTTATTATTTCTTAACTTATAGGCCAGTCTACTCAGGGCCAAGATGACTTATCTAGGGGTTCTTTACGTCCACCACAAGCTATCCCTATAGCCTCTCCTCTGACCCAGGCATTGCTGTCGTCTGGAATGGATATACTACTTCAGGAGAAGCCTACACAGGAACATGTGAACATACCTGCAATGCCCAGCAACCTACCTGTCCTGGGTGAAGAAGGGCTCAGTATGGATGTCTCTCTTGTTGGTAGCACCCGTCCCACATCTGCTCCAGTTCTGCCTTCTGCTTCGGATGCTTTTTCCACATCCGCACCACGTAGTAAGTCAAGTGCTTAGAGACTTAGTGACGACATGTTCACTGCTCTTGTTTTTATTTTGTAAATTTTGTTGTTTACATCTAAATTTTTTGTTATAAAGATATTTTCTAAATAAAGTTTATTCTCTTAGTATAATTATTTGTCTTGTTAAAAGCAAGATTAAGTATTTGTAATGTTGGTCATGTTTTCGAAAGGAATATTCAAAAACGTTGTTGCTGATTTGGATGTACATTTTTGCAACACCGAGCTGATCATATATGCCAAATTGGCGCCGTCTCTCTGGATTCAACCATTGTCTCCTCCAGATGCCACGTTCTCTGGCTCCCCTTCTCCGCCTAAAACGGCCTCTGATGAACTCATGAATGTTAAGTTGCTGCGTTAAAACTTCTTGCTGGGCCATAGCAGCCATATACTGCAGCCTGCAGCCTCAGTCGATCTGTGTCTTCCATGACAAAAGAATTATTTGATTTAATTTGGTATTCTCTCAATTATTCAGCTTAACGTAGATCCAATTCGTAAGTATTCGTTCCACTGCGTACAAGGTTGCAAACTGCCGCAATGGTTCGTAATGGGATCGTCGTCAGTCGCTTGATATGCAAATTATGGGGATACGACCTTATCCCCAGCGACCTGTAACGTCACTTGACGAAGCCAATGCGAAGGTTAACCGATCGTTAACGCATTGAAACGAATTTCAACGAATGACACACGAAACTTTTATTCGCTGCAATTTTTTGAACATGTTCAAAATTTTCCGACGAAAAAGACTAATTTCAACCGAGGTAAACGCTGACAAACGCATCTATGCGAACACTGCGACGTACTGTCACGAACTCGTACTAATGAGAACGAATTTGACTAATTTCCTATTTGCCACTATACGCAAGTTGACGTAAAGGGGTTTTCGTTCATATGTGAGGGGGGCTTTAGTGCTTACTTTCACTGCAGTTTTTGCCTTGTTTGTTCGGGGGACAAATGCACTGGTAGCCACCGTTCCAGGGAATAGAAAAACCAGTATTGCATGGAGACCCTGCAAAACAATACCAAGCAATTGGTTCTTGTAATCTACTAAAGCTAAGTTCACACCGACGGCGCTTTGATGGTGCTTTAAAGCGGCGTGCAAAGCCCCTTTGTACGCCGCATTAAAGCGCCATCAAAGCGCCGTTGGTGTGAACTTAGCTAAATAACGATGTGCGTTTCGCTTTAAATGATCAGTAATCTTAATTAAAAATTGAGAATTGATATCTTGAGCATTTTATTCTTATTACCTATCTTATCTGCAGCGGTCAATCCGAGCATCACTAATAACATTGCTATGGGATGTAAGGGGGCCATCTTTCCCTTTTTAGCTATAAATTATCGAAAAAATCAACAGAAGGTATTGTAGGTATAGCGTTTTACATGTATATAGGGATTTTATTACTTTAGAACTTTATTGTTAAAAACATCTTTAAAGGAATATTCCTTGCCAAACCACCTCTCTCCTCATATGGTAGCTATAACCATATATATGCTTGCCATGTTCAGCAAAACACGCAAAAATGTTTTGATATGGTCAAATTTGATCACTTAGAAATTTGATGCTCAATTCCAGTAAGCTGCCATCTTTTAAAATTTCACACAGGAAGTGATGTCATCGACTCTCAACTTTGCATATAGCATTAGGTGAGGAGCTATAAAGAATTACAAAACCAGCTAAATATTCTTTTTCAACTTTGTATCTTATTTAATCCTTCTGAAAATCTCTTCTTTTATTCTAAGTTGACAAGCCCTGAAAATATTTGTGCACAGAAAGTTATGATCACTTGTCTAGAAATGATTTTGTGCTACTTTCCTGTACTGTTATGGGCAAGGTTATAGAAGTTGAGAGTTGATGACATCACTTCCTGCAAGAAATCTTGAAAGATGGCAGCTCACTGGAAATAAGCACTCGATTTTTAAATGATCAATATTGACCATATTAAAACATTTTCCCATGTTTTGGTAAATATGGAAACTATACATATGATTATATCTACCATATCAAGAGAGAACGGGTCTGGCAAGGAATATTCCTTTAATAGATCATATTTCAATGTTCTATAGCAAACTAACTCCCAACAACTTGCCACTAACTCCAGAAACCACTTACTCAACATACAATATACCAAAGATGCCACCTCACACAAGCACACTCACTCACCCAAAGATGCCACCTCACATGAGCACACTCACTCACCCAAAGATGCCACCTTACACGAGCACACTCACTCACCCAAAGATGCCACCTTACACGAGCATACTCACTCATCCAAAGATGCCACCTCACACGAGCACACTCAAGCACACTCACTCACTCACCCAAAGATGCCACCTTACACTACCACACTCACTCACCCAAAGATGCCACCTGACTCCACCACACTCACTCACCCAAAGATGCCATCTCACACGAGCACACTCATTCACCCAAAGATGCCACCTTACACGAGCATACTCACTCATCCGGATGCCACCTCACACGAGCACACTCAAGCACACTCACTCACCCAAAGATGCCACCTTACACTACCACACTCACTCACCCAAAGATGCCACCTTACACTACCACACTCACTCACCCAAAGATGCCACCTCACACGAGCACACTCATTCACCCAAAGATGCCACCTTACATGAGCATACTTTCTCATCCAAAGATGCCACCTCATACGAGCACACTCACTCACCCAAAGATGCCACCTTACACAAGCACACTCACTCACCCAAAGATGCCACCTCACACGAGCACACTCACTCATCTAAAGATGCTTCGCGTCAAATTGTCTAATATGATTACATGCCACCTTACACGAGCACACTCACTCACCCAAAGATGCCACCTTATACGAGCACACTCACTCACACTAGCTAGCTACTTTCCAACACCTGGCTCTGATGCTTCATGGTTTTATAAGGATTCTATGTATATAGTCACATGATGAGAACTAAGAGCTTTTTGCTTGTTGTGAATGACCCAGCTGAACAGCCTGGCTATAACTGCCTGTAAGGAGTCTTGAAAATTTGAAGACATCATCTTTAGTGATTGACATTAATCTTTTTAGCTAGTTTTCAAACACCTGGCTCTGACGCCTCATAACTTAACAAGGACTCTACTATTTGTTCAGATGATGAGAACTACCTGTAAGTGTTTTATATAACAGAAACTTTTGCCATGATTTGCACATTGACGGCCAAAATGACTGACCCAACACATCAGGATACAACTGTGCATGATGACCACCAACACCTGACTAATGAGATAATATGCTTATATGTGTTGATTTGATACCAATGTCCAGATTAAGCCAACCTCTCTATTATATGGTTACACTTCATTAGATGTCATTATGATACATGTACTAAATATTAAACTTACATATAGAATTGTACTTGTGCAAGTCTGATTGCTCGGAAAATTAATGCTTATAATATTTATACATTATGCCAATGTCTAGACTATGCCAACCTCTATTGTAAGATTACATTAGATTTCATTATGATACATGTACTATATGTATATAAAATATACATACAGAATTGTACTCATTCATGATAACCATCAAAGTCTGATTGCTCAGATGAGAAAAACAAAGGTTGTAATAATTAGGCATTATGCCAATCACTAAACTATGCCAACCTCTCTACTGTATGATAACATTAAATGTCATTATGATACATATACTAGCTATAAAACTTACATATTATATAGAACTATACTCATTCATGATAACCATCATAGTCTCATTGCTCAGATGAGAAAAACTAATGGTTGTAATAATTAGACATTATGCCAATGTCTAGACTATGCCAACCTCTCTACGGTATGATAACATTAGACTTCATTATGATACATGTACTAGATATAAAACTTAAATATAAAAAAGTGCAGTCTCCTATATACTAGATTATGGTAATGAATGAATTACAATGAATATGTTTTAAATGCATTGATCTTTTGTCTAATGAATGCTGCTAAATGATAAAATTGACCACAACCATATTTTAACATTTTATGGGCTAGTGTTCTAAATTATAAATACTTTCGAGTGTCAAATAATTAAAATCTTCATATTGTAATATCAAGCAAAGTCAGTAGATGTTTTTTAGATACTAATTGATGTTGAATCCCAATGCATTACTAATTTGAACCTAGGAATTGAATGTTTTTTGCCTGTTTTCCCAAATTGTCAAACTTTGGGGGCTTTGGTAAGGGAGTAAGATAAAGTTGTAGAATTTTATTTGACTATTTACTTCAGAAGAAACATGGTTTCATCTTTAAGGTACATAATGTTCCAAAAGTGTTATTTTGGACCATATTTATAATCATTAAAGAAAGTTAAATGTAAGAACCTGATTATCTAGTGATGTTGCCATAGCAACTGAAATGTTAGACATATTTCACTTTCACTTTTAATCATATTATGTGCTTCAGATAGTTTAAGAATCAAGAATATGAAGACAATTATGAAACCACACAAAATAATGCATTTTAAGGTAAGAAATAGTGTTCTATTACTGTTGCTATAGCAACGGATTAAGATTTTTTCTTTATTTTCACCATACAGATTGAGCATCATACCAAGAATACTTCCTGAAAATTTCAAGTCAATATCTTTATTAGTGTCTGATATATAAAGGTGTCTTATAGTACCCCCAATAGATTTTCTTAGGGGGGTATAAGAAATGGTTTGTAGAGAGTTGCCCAAGGGTGCCGCTCCGGCATTCCGAGGTTTTGAGGACCAAACCCTATATTCATGCTGAAAAGTTTAAAAAACATTGTAATCCGAAGAAAACGATTGATCCTCAAAATACCCCATATTTCTTCCGGACTATTGTGATCCTAGTTAATTGAATGTTATGGTTAACTACAAAAACTGACAGTATGTAAAAACAGAAACTCAGTTTTCTTAGTTCCAAAAGTTTCAAAAATCCAGCATGATTTTGTGACTTCCTGATTTGTCAATGCCTTTTTACTACATTTAGACCTTAAGCAGAAATGGTTTTTAAATTATATTTTAATACCAGTATGGCGAGGAAACGGTGAAGACACCATAGTTAAAACAATCCATTGGCTCTGAACCAAACACTCCTATCATTATATCGGTAGTTCCGCG